TACAGGTCCTTTACTTCCTTAGTTAAGCTGATTCCTAGGTACTTGATTTTCTGGGGCACAATTGTGAACGGGATTGATTTTTTCATGTAACTTTCCTCTCACTGTTTGCGTATAGGAAAGCCATGGACTTTTGGGTATTGATTTTATAGCCTGCATCTTTACTATACAAGTCTATTGTTTCTAGGAGTTTTTTGGTGGAGGTTATTGGGTTCTCTAAGTATAGTATCATATCATCTGCGAATAGTGAGAGCTTGATTTCTTCCTTTCCTATCTGAATGCCCTTAATATCTTTTTCTTGCCTAATCGCTATTGCAAGTACTTCCAGTACTATATTGAACAGCAGTGGAGAGAGTGGGAATCCTAGTCTTGTCCCTGATCTTAGAGGGAAGGCTCTCAGTTTTTTCCCCATTGAGGATGATGCTTGCTGTAGGCTTGTGGTAGATGGCTTTAACTATGTTGAAGAAAGTCCCCTCTATACCCATTTTGGCTAGGGTTTTCATCATAAAGGGGTGCTGGATCTTGTCAAATGCTTTCTCTGCATCTGTTGATATGATCATATGCTTTTTATCTTTTCTTTTGTTGATATGATAGATTATGTTGTTTGATTTCCGAATGTTAAACCATCCTTGCATCCCTGGGATGAATCCTACTTGGTCATGGTGTATGATCTTTTTGATGAGTAGTTGGATTCTATTTGCTAGTAGTTTGTTGAGGATCTTTGCATCTGTGTTCATCAGGGATATTGGTCTGTAGTTCTCTTTCTTTGTGTTATCTCTGTTTGCTTTTGGTATCAGTGTGATATTTGCTTCGTAGAAACTGTTCGGAAGTGTATTTGATATTTCAATTTCGTGGAAAAGCTTAAAGAGGATTGGGAGAAAGTCTTCTTTAAAGATTTGGAAGAATTCACTAGTGAATCCATCCGGGCCAGGGCTTTTGTGCTTGGGGAGACTTTTTATTACCATTTCAGTTTCCTTGATGGTGATAGGTCTGTTCAGGTATTCCAGGTCTTCTTGGTTCAGTCTTGGGTGTCTGTAGGAGTCTAGGAATTTATCCATTTCCTCGAGGTTTTGATGTTCCGTGGCATAAAGCTTCTCAAAGTATTCCCTGAGTATCCTTTGAATTTCTGTAGTTTCTGTTGTAATGACCCCCTTTTCATTTCTGATTCGGTTTATTAGGGTTTTCTCTCTCCCTTTCTTTGTTAGTTTTGCTAGGGGCTTATCGATCTTGTTAATTTTCTCAAAGAACCAGCTCTTGGTTTCATTGATCTTTCGGATTGTTTTTTGGGTTTCCATCTCGTTAATCTCTGCTCTGAGTTTTATTATTTCCTTCTTCCTGTAGGGTTGTGCTCCTTTTGTTGGTCCTTCTCCAAGTTCTTAAGCTGTGAGGTTAGTTTATTTATGTGGGCTCGCTCCTCCTTTCTGAGGAATGCTTGTAGAGCTATAAACTTTCCTCTTAAGACAGCTTTTGCTGTGTCCCATAAGTTTTGGTAACTCGTGTCCTCATTTTCATTTGTTTCTAGGAATCTTTTGATTTCCTCTTTAATTTCCTGTCTAAGCCACTCGTTGTTCAGTAGCGCACTGTTTAATTTCCAGGTGTTTGATTTAGTTTTCTGTTTTTGTGTGTGATTTACTTCTAATTTCAGCGCATTATGGTCTGAGAAGATTGTTGATATAATCTCTATCTTCTTAATTTTATGGAGGCATGTTTTGTGGCTCAGCATGTGGTCTATCTTGGAGAATGTTCCATGTACGCTTGAGAAGAATGTGTATTCAGCTTTTTGTGGATGAAGTGTCCTGTATATCTACTAAGTCCCTTTCTTCCATTGTTTCCCTCAGACGAAGTATATCCTTGCTAAGCTTGGGTCTGGTTGATCTATCAAGAGGTGACAAAGCAGTGTTGAAATCTCCAACTAGTATTGTGTTGCTATTGATGTCTTTTTCCAAATCTATGAGTAGTTGTTTTAAGTATTTTGCTGGTCTCTCATTAGGTGCATATACATTTATTATTGTAAGTTCTTCCTGTTGTACAGATCCTTTGATCAATAGGAAATGGCCTTCACTGTCTCTTATGACCTTCTTCACTCTGAAATCGATGTGGTCTGATATTAGGATGGCTACCCCAGCTTTTTTCTGGGAGTTGTTTGCCTGTAGGATTGTTTTCCAGCCTTTGACTTTTGAGTCTGTGTTTGCTTTGACTATTGAGATGTGTTTCTTGCAGGCAGCAGAATGTTGGGTTCAATTTTCTAATCCATCCTGCCACTCTATGTCTTTTAATTGGTGCGTTTAGCCCATTGACATTGAGAGAGATTATTGTTATGGGATTTTGTCCCATTGTTCTGTTGAAATTTGGTGTAATTGAGGGGCCTGTCTTGCCTTAAACTAGCCTATTTAGTTGTTCTTTTAACCATGGTTTTGAGTCTATGAAGTTCCTGAGCTGTTCTTTGTCTGTGAAACTGTGTGTTATTCCTTCGATTATGAATGAGAGTCTCGCTGGGTAAAGTATTTTTGGAGAGGCATTTATTTCGTTGAGTTTTTTTACTATGTCCCACCACTGTTTTCGGGCCCTGAGGGTTTCATCAGAAAAATCAGCTGTGAATTTTAAGGATGCTCCTTTGTAAGAGATTTCTTTCTTCGATCTTGCTGCTTTCAGAATTTTGTCTCTGTCTAAAGTTTTGGTCATTTTGATCAGGATATGTCTTGGGGTATTTTTATTCGGATTTCTTCTAGCTGGTACCCTTCGGGCCTCCTGGATGTGGTCACAAGTTTTCTTCAGCTCTGGGAACGTTGTAGCAATGATGTCTTTGACAGTTTCTTCTTCATCAAGGTTTTCTTTCTGTCCCTCTGGGACTCCAATGATTCTTATGTTACCCCTCTTGGCTTCATCACGGTCTTCTCTTGCCATCTGTTCCCGAATTGTGAGTGTCTTTTCCATTTTCTGCTCTTTCCTGGAGAGTCTCTGAACGTCATCTTCGAGCTCACTGATTCTGTTCTCAGCCACTGTTACTCTGCTGCTGAGGCCTTCCACTGAGGTTTTCAATTCGGCAACCAGGTTTTTCAGGTCCGACATTTCTGATTGTATTTTCCTCATTTCTGCCTTCAAATCCTCTTGTCTTTTATTGGCATTGCTTTCCATTGTTTCTTTTAGTTCCCTAAGCATCCTAAGTAGCTCCTTTCTGAATTCCTTGTCAGAGAGGTTGTCTAACGCTACAGAACTGCTGGTGTCTTCTGGGCTAGCCTCTTCAATAAGAAAGCTTGGCGGGCTTTTGCATTGCTTTACCATTGTGACCAGTGTGGTTTGGTACTTCAAGTTCACTCTTACTATTCTGGTTGAGTGAGGAGAGACTGCCAGGAGCCGTTCAGCTTTGTTGCTGCTAGATGGGCCTCTTCTACCTTTCTGAGTCTTACCTTCTTCTCAGTCATGTGTTATTCTTTGTTTTATAACTGACATTGAGTGAAACTTTTGGAGGAGGTGCTATTTACTACTGAGCTTGTACAGCTATTTTCAAACAGGACTTTTGTTGGAAATGGAGTAGGTGAGTGGGATTTTGTTGAGTTGTAGTAGAAGAGGTGAGAAATTTTTGGTTGAAAGTCCAAATTGCTTGGGGCCAGTGATATACCGCCAGGAGGAAGGCCATGCCCACTTTGGGAGGCCACGCCCCCTTCTTAGAGGCCACGCCACTAGCTAGTCCCAGGCCACTCCCTCCCAGGATCCTGGATGGACTGCCACTCCTGCACGGGCTGTCCTTCCGCGGGGATCGGTGGGCGGCCGTAAGTCACTTTTAATGTCAGTCTCTGATGTTAAACTGACAACTTTTTTTTTTCTCCTTTATTTTATTTTATTTTTTTTAAAGTTGTAGATTTACAATTTTTTGTGCTTTGGTTTCAATTATACAATGATCAGATACCCATCACTCCACCAGTGCCCATTTTCCACCACCATGGATAATATCCCTCCCACCCCCATCCCCCCATCCCCCCTGTCTCTGTGGCAGGGCAATCCCCTGTGTTCTCTCTCTCCTTTTGGGTGTTGTGGTCTGCAAAAGAGGCATTGAGTGGCAAACATGTTCAGTCCATAGTCTACTTTCGACATGCATCTCCCCTCCTGGGAGGATCCTCCAAACATCCTTTATTTGGTGCTCCCTTCTCTATCTGAACTGCCCTTTCCTCTAGGATACCCGGCTGGCCTCTAAGTTATGGAGTAATCCTCCTGGTGCTGATCTCAGCTATTCTTGGGTATTAATCTCATACTTTGTTACTTTATATCCCCCAGATGAATGCAATCTTTCTATGAAACTGACAACTTTTCTAAAACAAGCTCACATTTGAGATGTTACATCAAATCAAATAAATGGCCACTCATACAATTTGGGTAAGTCAAAGATGTAGGAACAAGACACTGAGCATTGTATGGCATAGTACAACAAAATGATAAATTCATTAAAATATTTAAATTACTTTAAATAGAGATCAAATTTCATAACACATATATAACTAATAAAATAGCTATAGCTCAGTCTTTATGATGCAAGTGAAAATGTAACTTAGGATGATTTCAAGAACGAACAGTAACTATGATATTTACCCAATATTTTTATATGAATTTTCTTATGTCATCTGATTTCATTTTTAATTTTGAATAGCTCAAATTGGCTATATTTCAGTAGGAATCTTCATCTTCACTTATTTTCCTTTGTCTCAGTATTTTCTTTTATTTTTTTTCTTTTTAATTTTTATTAGTGAGACACCATGAAGTACATTTGTAGACTTACAAATTTTGTGCTTGGGTTTCAATGTTTTTCTTTTTGTTTTTTTGGGTTATACCCAGTGATGAACAGGGGTTACTCCTGGCTGTGCACTCAGGAATTACTCCTGGCAATGCTCAAGGGGCCATATGGGAAGCTGGTCAGTCGTGTGCAAGGCAAACGCCCTACCCGCTGTGCTACTGCTCCAGACCTTCAGTATTTTTCTTGAGAGAAGATGTAAAGCAACCCAGTAGAAGACCATGAAAATGAAGAGATTCACTGAGGACTAACGGGTCAGTTCAATCCAGTGTTTAATTTCAAATGGCAACGTTCCATAATTTTTCAATATTCTGATTCTATCTACATTTTGACAATCATTTGTAAAATCCAATAAAACAATATCTTGAGAGGGTCTAGCCAGTAAATTGACAGGTAGCATTCTTTCAATCTGAGAAAACTGGCTATCAATGTGCTAAAAACTCTAAGATAAAAAGAACAAGAAGCGCTTAAACTGACTCATGGTTTTTGATCTCTTTACACCAAATTTTGGAAAATTACCAAGTCATACAGACCACAGCTTCCTTTTCATTATGTTGATTAGGTTGCTTATTAAACCACCTCTTCTAATTTTTCCTCAGTCACGTTATCTTTGCTAAATTCAGGAGAATTGGATAGCAAGTTCTCTTTTAATCTGTTAAATTCAAAATCATGGATAATCTTAGCTGTTATTAACTTTTCCTTCTTCAGTCTGTCCTTAACGTCTGCTGGAATATCCGGAATCATCCAGGCCAAAAAAAATTTAAGTAAAAGCACAATATGCTAGAGGAAAAATAAAAGAAAATCAAAGAAACTGTTATTTTTGTCATGTTATTAGTAGAAAGTTCTTACAAGTCATTTCATTCATTAAAAATACTGTTTGTGACACAGCTAGTACAACAGAAGCAAGAAGTTGTGTTTTGATCCGGGAACTTGTCTATAATGATCAACATCAAACAAGTGCATTTATGGTAAAATGTTTAATTACAGAAATTCCAATTGGAATTGGCCATTGAATATACTCAATGCTACATTCTTAAAATCTAATAAGATATTTATAAAATAATTTTTAAATGGTATAACACAAAGATAAAATGGAAAGAGAGGAGACAGTAATTGATTCAGGAGAGCAAATAAGACAGGAATTAAACTTTCAATTGGTGATACAGTGAAGGTGGGCAAAAACCACTTTTGTTTTAGATAAATAGGAAAACACAGGGAGGAAAATATTAATGACTTTTGAATTTGTAAAGGTTGGACAGTATTGAGAACAGAATTATTAAAAATCTGTTTAAGAAGCATTTTAACTTTCAGAACTTCTCTCCCTCTTTATGCAGACATTGCTTTGAAGGAACAGTGTGTTTTCTGAAGAAAATAAATAGTGTGTTTTCTGAAGAAAATTAAGCCAGAAAAAAAATTTCCATAGAGTTCTGGATACAGCAGGTGACAGAGATGTGGTTCCAGAATGAAAACAGGACAACTATGTGAAAATTTTCAAAAAGCACAGCGTGATCACTAGTCCCTTCTGCATTGCTCAGCTCTCAGGACAGAGAGAATTACGAAATACCAAACAGGGTTTTGGGGATTTCTTTCTTTGGGAAATAGTAGAAGTCAATGAAATCAGAACTACAAATACGTCTTCCACCCTACATAGACACCCACCAATTGGCATTTCTCCTATATGTACACCAACTTTATAATCCTCTTTTATTGTTTTATTCTTGAAAAAGAGTAGATTGTCAAGAATCACCAAATATGTAAGAACATCTGCAACATACAAGGAAAAGACTTTAAAACACAAAAAGGAGCTAAGAGAAAACAGACAATAGAGGGAGCAAACACAAAAATAAAGAAAAACAAAACAGAGTAATAGCCCAAAAGGCAAAAATATGACTCTATTTATATGAGGGAATGATGAATAACTAGAATGTCAAAACAAGAAAAACTCCAGAAAAAGATGAAAAATCATCAGAGAAGAGAGAAAAGATGAAAATTTACAGGAGCTAAAACAAGTAAATTTTCTCAATTTGAATGCTAAGGATGTCTTCAGACCTATGGGTAACAAGAATAAATGGGAAAATGAATATCAATGAATAATAAATTGTGAGTTAAGTTTCACTAAAGAGAAACAGGAGAAAATTCCCAAATTTTGCTAATGAAAAAAATTAAAGATTAGGAATCATAGAGGCACTGCATTATATCACAACTGTGAGAGAGACGGAAAAATAGAACAACACTTTTTTACAAAAATTATGGAAAATGTGAACAAATTTTTTCAGGGAAAATGACTTTTGATTTTGAAATCCATATCATTTAATCATTTCTGAAGAAAGAAATAACTTTTCAGAGATTTGGAACTAGTACAGTGGTTAGGACGCATGCACCCAAACCAGGTTCTATTCTGGATTCCCTCAATCATCAGTGGTGCATAGTTGTGGCTCTATGAACTTCTGACACTGAAAGGATGGCCCAGTGAATCCTAGGCACCACACAACCTGAGCAGCATTGCATCTTTGGGCCTTTACATTAAATGACCAGTCCAGTTGGTCAAAATTCATAAGTAGGGCTCTCTGGTCTCCTGAGTTCAACATGAGAGGACTCCAAAATATAAAATAACTTTTTAATATTAAATATCCCCCTAATTGATTGCCTATCCTTTTCCACAGAAAATTACCTAGATACTATATTATCAAAACTGAAGTAGTAATCCATGAATAGAAGAAATGTATTGCAGAAAGTATTATGTTGACCATTCAAGAAGATAAAGAGAAGACCTAGGATAACAGTCAAAGTGTGATATGCTTTTTAAAAATAATGGCAATAATAAAACTAAAGTTCTAAAGGATTTCTTGGTAAAATTTACTAATCTAAAAAGTGTTCTGACCTCTTTCTTATGCCATGTACAATAGTCAAATCAAAATTGATTAAAAACTTCAGTATCAAACCTAAATACATAGAGAAAAATGTAGGCAGATCACTACATGACATTGAAGCTAAAGGTATCTTTAAAGATAAAACAGCACTAATCAAGCAAGTTGAAGCAAAGATAAACAAAAGGGACTATATTAAACCAAGAAGCTTCTGCACTTCAAAGGAAATGGTGGCCAAAATACAAAGTCAGCCAATGGAATGGGAAATATTATTTATCCACTACCCATCTGGTAAAGTGATAATATCAAAGATATATAAGACACTGGTGGAATTTTTCAAGAAAAATAATCTAACCACATCCAAGAAATGGGGAGAAGAAATGAACAGAAAATTCCTCAAGGAAGAAACACAAAATGGCCAAATGGCACATGAAAAAATGCTCTACATCACTAGTCATCAGGGAGGTACAAATCTAAATAACAATGAGATATCATTTCACACCACCAAGAGTGACACATATCCAAAAGAACAAAAACAACCAGAGCTTGTGTGAATCTGGGGGAGAAAGGGACTCTCAATCATTGTTGGTGGGAATACCGACTGGTCCAATCTTTTTGGAAAACAATATGGGCATTCCTCAAAAAGCTATATATTGAGTTTCCATGTGTCCCAGAAATACCATTCAGGGAATATTCCCTAGGGACCCCAAAATAATGCAGAAAAGCCATCTACACTTCTGTGTTCATTGCAGCTCTATTCATAATAGCCAGAATCTGGAAACAAACAGAGTGCCTGAGGAGAGAGGACTGGATAAAGAAACTATGACACATCTGCACAAAGGAATACTAAGCAGCCACCAGGAAAAATGAAGCCATAAAATTTGCTAAAAATGGATGGGCATGGAGAGTATCATGCTGAATTAAGTGAGCCAGAGGGAGAGGGACAGACATAGAATAATCATACTCATTTGTGGGATATAAAAAATATACAGTATGAAATTAATACCGAAAGAAGTAGAAACAAGGGCCAGGAAGTCTGGTCCATGGTTGGAAGCTTGTCAAAAGTAGGGATGGGGGAGGCAGTTAGGACAGAGAAGAGACTACTATGACAAGGAGAGTTGGAAATGATCACTTGGACAAGAACTGAGTGCTGAAAGGAGGTAAGGGGATATACATTACACTCTTTAAGTAACAATATTGAAAAACATAATGCCCAAAATTAAAGAGTGAGAATGAAGACAGAGTGAGAGAAAGAGAGAGAGGAGAGAGAGAGGACAGAGAGAGAGAGAGAGAGAAGGAGGGAGGGAGGGAGGGATGGAGGGAGAGAGAGAGAGAGAGAGAGAGAGAAAGAGAGAGAAGGAAAGGTGGGGGGAGGGTGGTGGGAGGGAACCTGGTGAAGGGATAGGTGTTGAGACTTTGTATGATTGAAACCCTTTGTAAGTGTATATCTACCAGTGATTCAATTAAATAAAAACCAGTGTTTTTATTTTTTTATTTTTTTCTGTGGGGAAGGGATTTGGGTCATATTTGGCTGTCCTCAGGGGTCACTTCTGGTGGTGTCTAGGCACCAAATGTGATGTTGTAAATTGATCTAGGGTCAGCTGTGTGCAAGTAAAGCACCTTAACCCATGTACTATAGTCTGTAAAAGAGATCATTTTTCAGTGAACTTTTTCACTTTTATTGAAAATGTGTCAATAACAGTTATAAATTCATTAAGAACTAAAGTAAAAAATAGAGGGAAGAATAAATTGGGGAGGAATGTCATGTAAGAATACATTATATGGGGCCAGAATGATGGTACAATGGGAAGAGTGCTGCCTTGCCCCCCCCCAGATTTGATCCTCAGCATCCCACATAGTCTAACATCCCACAAAGTCCAATAAAACACTTCTAGTGTAAGTATGCATATGTTTCAATCAATTCTTAATGAGTTTTTTCAAGGTTATACATATAATCTAAAGTGTTTCTATTGAAATTTATAGTGAAAAAATAAGCCTAGTATTTACTTCTCTGTTATTGGTATTCATATTTTATGCTTTGTCTTGTTCAATTTGTATCTTAATCAAGTACTAACTCTGTTATTTATTTTTTTAATCACATGGTTTATGTTCAAATTTTACCAGATATTTCACAAAAGAAAATACAGTGGGAGAGAACAGGAGTTCAGCAATGGGAAATCTGGCATTAAAACCAAGCTTTAATATTAGTTGGTTATCTTTAAACCAACTATATAATCTTTCTGAATTTCATACCCATTTTAAAGGGAGAATAATAACATTTCATTAACAAGAATACATCATGGGTAGCTTGCCAGGCTTTACTGCTCCTTCATTAACAAATTTACTATTATTGCTTCTGTAACTAGTATACAAAAGTTTTAGTGAGATCTGTGAGTCCCCATGCAGGAAGCACTGCACAGGAATTAAGACACTTGTCTTGCATGCTTCTGACCCCAGTACCGTTTCCAGCACATTCAGGACCTCTGAGCACTGCCGGGAGTGAACCCAGAGCACAGAATTTGTCTTGAATGCAGCCAGGTAAAAAAAAATGGAAACAAAACAAAAATAAAGTAGCCTCTTTCTATCCCTTTCCTGACCTCCATGAAGAGGTCATATTTCTTTGTAGTTGTCTCTTTTCTTTGCTATCACGTCGATATATTCAATAGCGATTAGTGAGTAATAGGAAATCTATGACTAAAAGCAGTCTTAGGTTGTTTTGTTGTGACAACAACTTCTTCAAACAAAATAATTACTGAGAACACTAATTTTCTCTGAGTAGATACCTTTCAAAATATAGAAAAACTAATGAGGATACCTGGGCCTATGAAATCTCACATAGGACAAAATTTCTGAAATCTTTCCACTCTTCCTTCTGATTAAAGGCAAGACCTATGAGAGGCAATCAAAAACGGTCTAAGATGGAGAGAGCTGTAGTTAGAGTGAGGGAAGAAACCCTTCTGGGGGAAAAATAGACTAAGTTAAAACACAGTTCAGAAAATCTTACTTCTGTCATTATGATGAAAGCAAACCTTGCAGCAAGGACATGCCAGTATTTCTTAGTATGGTCATACTTCTGCTCATGATCAGGAGGCAATCTGTAATCTTTATACCTGAAAAAATAGAAGTTAATGCAAAACATTAGCTGTTGCTTCAGATGGCTGTTAGTTTCCTCACTGTACTTCTTGACTTGTTTTAGCGGTCAACTTTATGAGTTCATTTTTGTCTAAAAATTCTAAGAAATGATTGCTTTTCAGATTCAGTTTAGCTCCAAAATGGTGACATTAACAACTCTAACACCAGTTCACTTGCTCTTAAACACTATGTTATGCTTCCTCAATAGACAAACAAGCAAACAAGGGATATCCATGTAATTATTATATCTTAACATATAAAAACTATGAGTAGATTTATTCATATAAATAATATAATTATATAATTATACATATATATTTAAATTCCAGGTTAAAAATATTCTCACATAGAAGAGACACAGGCTTTACACTTCTTTTCTGCATGGTTCAAGAAATTCTTTAAATGGAACAACTGGTGAAGTGACTACACTAGTATTTCACTCTCATAATTTTGAAACATACAAGGTTAAATTCAAGTATGTTAAATACACATAATAGCATCTTGTTGCGTGATCAAGATTTATAACAACACAGACCCATGAAATATTATTAGTAATAAATCTTTTCAAAATAAAAAAATAAAAAGTTGCTACTACATTTTCATGTATTTTTCTTTAGTATATAGATATTCTACTTTTCTGTATCAGTGCCACATAATGTTTGATTCTAGAATTTTATCCAAGATTTTTAATTACCGGAGTAAATTCTTTGCATTGTAAACCATGGTAGAGGGAATTTATTTATTTATTTATTTATTTATTTATTTATGCTTTTTGGGTCACACCTGGCAATGCACAGGGGTTGCTCCTGGCTCCGCAATGCACAGGGGTTGCTCCTGGCTCTGCACTCAGGAATTACTCTTGGTGGTGCTCAGGGGACCAAACGGGATGCTGGGATTCGAACCCGGGTTGGTCTTGTTCAAGGCAAATGCCCTACCCACTGTGCTATTGCTCCAGCCCCGATAGAGGGAATTTATTATATAAAATGAGCGTAAGAAAATCTAAAAAGTTTAAAAAGGCAACCTGCAAGTAGTGAAGTTTCTCTTTTCTGAAGGTGTTGGTTGTGTTGTGAAATCGGCTATGAGGAATACTGACAGGCTGTTATTGACATATCCTTTCAGAGGTTCCTGGGGATCTTCTGAGTAGATATATCTGTAAACTAAACGAGGAATGGTGTCCGACGTGAATGAAATGATGTAGGCCTAAAGAACAAAGCAGAAGGAATTAGTCAAAAATCTAGCTTTTTTTCCTTAAAGTCTCATAAGTGCCACATGGATGCAAAATTATTAAAGTGCTATAACAAATCATGTTAACTGGGGAGATAGGGAAGAGAGAAAAAGAATATTTCTCATTCTTGCTTAAGCTCTACATTGGTGTAAATAGCATATTTCTTTAGATTAGTTGAGTACATTTAAAAACCACTTGGCTTTGTGTGTGGTAGATTAAAAAGTAATAGCACTTTATAGTCATTATGCCCATGCATTTTTCAGAAATATACACAACGTGGGCAAACTTTGTTTTCGAAAGATTTATCATTTCAAAATATTTTACTGTTTTTGGGGATAAAAGCACATATGCTACTGTCTCCTAATTTTCCGAACTACACCTGTAACTGGGCTGAAGCGATAGCACAGCAGGTAGGGCATTTGCCTTGCACGCGGTCGACCCGGGTTTGATTCTTCCACCTCTTTCTGAGAGCCCGGCAAGCTACCGAGAGTATCTTGCCCACACGGTAAAGCCTGGAAAGCTACCCGTGACATATTTGATATGCTAAAAACAGTAACTCAAGTCTCACAATTCGTTGTGAGACATTACTGGTGCCCACTCGAGCAAATCGATGAACAACGGGAAGATGGTGCTACACCTGTAACTGCTTTGTTTTTGTTTGAAATTCTCATTTTTGTTTTACTCTTTCAACTAACCAAACATTAATTTACTGAATAATTATGTTAATTTTGTTCTCTAATTTGATTATGACTATATCTTTATTCTTTGTATTTTCTATTGACATATGTTACAGGCTCAGCCATATTTTCTATCAATTGTTTGGGGGCCATACTTAGTAGGTTAGCTGGCCATACTTACTTCCAGTTCTGTTCTCAGGGATCACTCCTGGCAGTTCTTGGGGGATAAAATGGGGTGACACGGATTAAACCATAGTTGATCTTATGCAAGGCAAGTGCCCTACCTGCTGTATTATCTCTCTGCCCCCTTATTATGTTTTTAAATGAAACAAGCGCTTTTTGCTTTAGATTTTTCTGTGCCTGTGATTTTATCTGGTTCCTACTGGTTTTCTTTATTTTCTTCCTTTAATATTTTTGCCTTACCTGGTGATGCTCAGGGCTTACAGTTTGCTCTGTTCTCAGGGATCATTCCTGGAAGTGCTAAGCGGATCATTTGTGGTGCCAGGACTCAAACTATAGTTTACCACATATAAACAAGTGCTGTCATCCTTGTACTACCTCTTAGGCCATGATTTTTATTTTTGTCGAATATTTCAATTAAAATTTTAAACACTATCCTTTTGACACTGCTTTGATTTTCTCTGCTCTGCTGGGGTCATTAGTCCCATCTCCAGGGCCTCCTTTGTAAGCTCTCCAAACTCAAGGCCTATTTCTGCACCACGCTGAGTGACTTGGGGTAATTAAGGCATATTATTAGAAGAAGTCTGTATTGGAATAAATTTTACCTGTATGTAGCCAGCCCGGCCGAGCCGGATTCTATTCCTCTACCCCTCTCGGAGAGTCCGCAAGCTACTGAGAGTGTCTCGCCGGCACGTCAAAGCCTGGCAAGCTACCCATGATGTATTCAATATGCCAAACACAGTAACAACAATTCTCACAATGGAGACATTACTGGGCCCACTCGAGCAAATCGATGAACAACAAAATTTACTTAGAAGTGAGAATACTGGGCCAGAGAGATAGTAAAGCAGGTACAATGTCTATTTTGTTCCTTGCATGCTACTGACCCAGGGCTCTATCCTCAACACCCCATATAGTCTCTTGAGCCTCACCAGGAGTGATCCCTGAGCACAAAGCCAGGATAAAGCCTTTAGCATTCTGGATATGTCTCTAACCTCCATAACCTCACTCCACCCCCCAAAAAAGAAGTAAGAAAGCTATCATTAGGTTTTCTTTTTTTGCAATTTTATAAACTTCAATTTTTATACATTGCTATCAGTAAATGTGCATATTGAATTTCTGACTGAGGACAATTACCTTTATTTTCAATTTTAATAAAGGATAAATGAGGAAATGATGTAGGTAACATGTTATTCATTGGATGTAGGTAACATGTTATTCATTGGTAACATAAAATTTTATATATAACCAAGGTGAGGTTTTATTATTAAAATTATTTGTACTATTATTTACTTTATGTCTTACATATGCTATGAAACTAATAAAATATTCTGAAAAGAACAACTTAAAATTGTTCTGATCTTTCTAGGAGATTTTTATGTCATAGATTTACCTGTGTTTTTTTACTGCATACAAATTTAGGGGTGTTTTATATCTTTATGAATTTTCATCATTATGAAAAGACAGTTAATTGTCATTCATATTTTCCAAGCCCTCGAGCAGGGAAGGGGAAGTATACAAATTCATCCCATCAATTTATGTCCACTTACATTAGTTGCAACAGAAAGGAAACCCATTGTTTGGAGAATGTCTTCCCAAACACCAATGCTATGAGCTTTAGCAGCTACAGGTCTTCTGTACTGAGTAGTAAGTTTCCAGGCATCAAGTCGTATCTCTATAATATTATTCAAGAGTGCAAGAAGAGGAGCCAAAGGAAAAGAAGCCACAAATAATGTAACAAATCCAAACTGGATAACTGTTAGGGAAAAAAAAATTCAGAAACTCATTATTTTGAAGGATAAAAGGGTAAAGGAACACAATTTGCCTAACTCCTGGCACTTTCTTCATTTTGGAGGAATATACATCAACAAAACACTCCAGGACTCTTTCCACCTGCTTATTCCCTCCTTTCTGGAAGAATCATAATCTCTTACTGGACTTCCTAGAAAAGGATGAGATACTGTGCATGCCTATTGGATCCTGCCCTGCTGTTTCTTTTGAATGCTGCTTATCTGAAAGATATCAATTTTTTTGTTGTGTTTTTCTATAGGTCTATGCTGGTCTAGCCTCTATATTGTTATTTTTATACTGGTGGAGTAATGAGTTGTTCTCATGACAATCGATCTACTTTGTGAAATCAAGGAAAATGCCTGACTCATGTCATTGCTTCTGATGGTGTATAAAAGTACACTCAGCAACAAGTCTTATGTTTTATCTTGTTTTGCTTTGTTTTGTGACCAGGCCCAGAGGTTCTGGGAGCTACTTTAGGCATGATACTCTGAACCAGGAGTTCCACATATAAAGTTTGTGCTCCATCCCTTTGAGCCATTTCTATGAACTGCAAGTAAAAGTCTTTTTTTTTTTCCTTTGGCTTTTTGGGTCACACCCAGAGATGCTCAGGGCTTACCCCTGGCTCTGCACTCAGGAATTACTCCTGGCTGTGCATAGGGACCATAGGGGCTGCGGGGGATTGAACATAGGTCAGCCATGTACAAGGCAAACGCCCTACCCACTGTACTATCGCTTTGGCCCCTACAAGTAAAAGTCTTTTAGATAAATAATTACTTAGCATTTGAGGATGCTAACAGAGAAAAGGGCAGTGTACAGCTTGCTGTTTCAGAATCAATGGGAAAACAAATCATGAAAAACATCAAAAACAACACATAAAATGCATGCTGGCAGAATACACATTTTCTCTATTGAAGTATTCTGTCCAGGATCTTTCGTACTCTCTTAACACCTTTTTATATTTTGGGGTCACACATAGTGGTGCTAGAGGACAGTTTCCATCAGTGATCAAGGACCATGTGGCCAGGATCAATCCCAGGGTTCCTGCATGCAAAACACGCAGTCCAGCTTTTTGAGCTAACTGTGGTGTTTTTGACATCTTTTAAAATGTTTCACACTCTTTACTCCACTAAGAAGTAACTGTTAGGATTTTTTTCCCTTTTGTTTACAACTCTGATTTGGATGAAACACGGAAATAGCTAGTCTAGACTTTCCACATGAATGAAGAAAACTAATAAGAGATACTGAAATTGTATTTCATTGAAGGAACAAAGAATCTTCAAGTAGACCTTTATTTTTAGATGAATCTCGAGTATTTCCACATTTCAATTTTTTTTCAAAAGACTTCCTCAAAAACATCAATCCAGTCATATACTTGGGTATTTTTTTTTGGGGGGGAGCACACTTGGCAGTGCTCAGGGTACAATCCTGACTCTGTGTTTAGGAATCACTCCTAACAGGCTCAGGGGACCATACCAACTGTGGGATATAGAACCCAGTTTGGCATCCTGCAAAGAAATCACCCTACCCTTGTACTACTGCTCCAGTCCTGCCATATACTAAAGCAACTGAACAAAATACCTTCCTTTCTGTCTTTTTACTGTACCAAAAAACACAAAATTTATAAGTAAAATGTAGAAAAAGCTTGAACTTTTTAAGTTCAAATCCCAGATGGCTAGCAAAACATTTTGAGACCCATTGCAAGATGATTAGTCTACACAATATTTAGTATCCTCAAAAAATGCAGCAAATAATTACTTCAACATACAGTGTTTCAAAATTAAGAATAAGGTACATAAAATATCCAAATTAACCTCTTATTGTAATTTAAATAAATGGCATATTTTAATTTGTGGTAACCCCTAAAATATTTGTGCACAAACCCAGTTAAAACTTACATATTAAAAATATAGCATTAGCATCCCTCAAGGTAGGAATAATTTACAACAATGGTTGTAATAATTTTACAACCAAGCACAGCGGGTAGGGTGTTTGCCTTGCAAGCGGCCAACATGGCTGACCTGAGCTCAATTCCTTTGCCCCTCTCAGAGAGCCCAGCAAGCTACCGAGAGTATCTCACCCACACGGCAAAGCCTGGCAAACTACCTGTGACATATTCGATATGCCAAACACAGTAACAATTGTCACAATGGAGATGTTACTGGGCCTGCTTGAGCAAAATCGATGAACAACTGGAGGACAGTGACAGTGACAGTGACAAACTTTTTTCAATTTGTCCTAAAGCTATTTGAATCAACGCATCCCATTTCTATTATAATGGAGAATAACAATTTCAGTTTATCTCTTTCATCCCACCAAGATTCTAGGGGTCTTAAGAATAGATTGTAAAAATAGTCCTTACAGAAGAAGAAAAGGTCACCTGATAGAAAATATTCTGAGAAAGTCATATAAGTGGCCTCAATTATATCTTTTCATTTACCATTAATGACTTTCTGAACAGTTGCTATGTGTGACATGTAGGAAGCAAGGTTAAAAATATGGGGGAAGGGGCTGGAGCTATAGCACAGCGGGTAGGGTGTTTGCCTTGCACGCAGCCAACATGGTCGACACAGGTTCGATTCCCAGCATCCCATATGGTCCCCCAAGCACCGCCAGGAGTGATTCCTGAGTGCATGATCCAGGAGTAACCCCTGAGCATCGCCGGGTGTGACCCAAAAAAAGCAAAAAAAAATATGGGGGAAAAAGGCCGAAGTGACTGTATAATGTGTAAAGCACTGTCTTTGCATGCAACAGACCTGGGTTCAAGCCCAGGCATTCTGCATGGTCCCCTGAGCACAAATATTTGGGGCATAGCTTCCCACAAACTATATATTTTTTAAAAATTTCATTTTTCTTAATCTGAGAGTGTGGTTCAAGACAGTGGTTGGATATTACCTGTTTCTAAGTACTCATTGAATAGCTCAATAGATCCAAAATATTCAAGGTCATGGTCTTGTTCCCAGCGAGTGTACAGCTTTTCAGAGTTGGACTTAGCTTTTCGGCTTCTCCACCAATTCATTGTAATGCTGTTGAAAGTGACCCCAAAATACATACAATAGAGTTAAAAAGAATTGAGTCAGCAGACTAGAATGATGAATCTAGAAACTTCCAGTAAAAAAAGAGGTCGAGCAGTGAGCTAACAGAACAAGTAGAGATAAGAGTGCATTTATGTTCAAGTCAAAGTTCAGTGTTATTTTCATAACATTTGCTAAGGTCAAAAAGTCTTTTACAGGGTTGATTAAGAAAATTAAAAAAGCCCGATTCTCTTGATGAAAATATATCTACTCAGAGACAGTTCTGTTAAAGAGGATGTGAAAACAAGGTCACCACTGAACTATTTTACTCTTATGTTGTCATGATAGTCAGGACACTTAAAAAAATAAAAAATTATTCACAAGAAAAGATATGCAACAAAGAAAATATAAAGCTCATTCAACACAGGAAAATATATGCAACATCCTAAATGAAATACTAATTAATTTTTTTCTATACTTCAAAAAATGAATGTATCATGATAATTTTGGTCTCCTTTGAGAATCAAAATGTTTTTTAATCAGAAAAATCTATGTGAGGCCATAGAGTTAGTACAGAGGCTAAGGCTCTTGCCTTTATACGGTCAGCCTCAGTTTGATTCCAGGCACTGTATAAGGTTTCCAGCACCAGCAGGTATGATCCTAGAGCACAGAACCAGTAATAAGTCCCTAAGTACAGCCGGGTGTGAAAAGAATGAAAGAAGGAAAGAAAGAAAAGAAAAGAAGGAATGAAAGAAAGAAAGAAAGAAAGAAAGAAAGAAAGAAAGAAAGAAAGAAAGAAAGAGAGAAGTAGGGAGGGAGGGAGAGAGAGACAAGGAAGGAAGGAAGGAAGGAAGGAAGGAAGGAAGGAAGAAAGGAAGGAAGGGAGGGAGGGAGGGAGGGAGGGAGGGAGGGAGGGAGGAACGGAGGGAGGGAGGGAGGGAAGGAAGGCCAGTATAAAATATCATGTTAGCAGATTTTAAAAGAAAATGTAAAATTATGATAACAAAGCTATGTATTTCAAGCACCTATTAAAAGTTATTTGTGATAGAAATAGCAGAAAGAGAGAAAAATTCTCTGAATTTGATTAAAGTTATCTACTAAGATCTTGAAAGTTATCTACTAAGATCTTGGGGATAGCATTATTTCTAATAGAGAAATAGTGTAAACATTCTCTGTAAAATGAAGAAAAATAAAATATGTTCATGATTACATTCACTACTCTACCTAAAATCTAACCAGAACAAGGATGAAAAGACAAAAGAATTGGAAATAAAGAAGAAAGTTGGTTATTTACAGTAATACTACTGAATTATCTGCATAGAAATCCCTAATAAAATTAGACAAACAATTTAGTTTTATAGAAATACTTGATAACTAAACACCACAGATTAGAAAATATAATTTTAATAAGATCATGAAATGGAGACAAATACTAAATGTATCTAGAAATTAATCTAACACGATTTTTAAGACTTATATTGCAGAGGTATATAGACAGTCGAGGGGTAAAAAATTTAAGTTACATTTCTTGCATGCAGCTAAACCTGGTTCAAGCACCAGTACCACATGCACCCAAAGCATCACTGGGTATGGCCCTGAAGATCCCTGGGCACAGCCAGAGCATTCTCAGGCTCTTGCTTTGCACTAGCATCTGGGATGACCTAGAAATGCCAGTGGAATACTGGGGTCTCCTGAAGATCATTTCGGTGTAGCCCCCTAAAAACCCCTACAAGCAGAAATTTAAATCTTTACAAAGTGATTAAATCCATAATAGTTTCATAAATAATAAGACAACATTATAAATACCATTATATTGACTGAAACAACTGAACTATAACATAAGTTAAATGAGAAGGACAGACTATTTTTTTCTTATGAATTATGACAAGATGGACCTGTAATTTATAAAGGAAGGTTTCTAAGTTTTAAGGATAACAAAAATATTTCTATAGATAAATCTGTTGGTAAAACTTGCTCCAGAAAACAGCAAAACTTATTATAAATCCACATTAATAGAGACTGTTGTATTGCTGCAGGGATCAAAAAATCTCCGCAGAGAATGAAGATTTAGTAAAAGCCCTGCTCTTGCTATATTACATAAGGGGTACTGTAAATAGATCATGAAGAGTAGTAAGAGATACGTTCCAACAAATGATAATCATGTGCCCACATGTGTAAGACATTATGTTTGAACTGCCATATAAAATTTTCCCCCTATATTAAGAATTTAAGGGCTCAGGATGTGGTTCATTCATAGCCTATGTGATTTGCATAGAAGGCTACAGGCTTGAACCCTGACACTGTCCCACATCAATCAGAGCACAATCCTTGGTATGATTAGCTATAACCCTACCTGCCACAAGTATACTCCTATGTACTACAAACAAGTGTGCCACTTCAAGTTCCACACAAAAAGTGCTATAAGCACAACAAAGAATTTAAGAGAAAAAGACAATAATGTTAAAGTGTATAGAAGTCAATCATACATACGGATAAACAGCTGCTTTAATGTTTCCAACGAGCTGCTTCCCAGTCATTATGATAAGCAACTGAGTTGTTAATTCTATTTGACAGCCTTCAGGATCACACTAGTCAGGAAATAAGAAGAAAAACAACTGAATGATGACAGATGCGCTTTCACACCAACTTAAATATTTTAACTCCAAACCAGATTATAAGAACATGAATAGCTATGGTTGGAACGCATATTAAGAAAACACAAAAGAGATTTTTAGTTCAAGAGTATCAAGCATGATCCCCAATGAATGACAGACCAGTAGCATAAATTCTGCCTGGATTGCATTAAGTAGGTCTCATTCTTAGAAAATTCTCAATCTCTATAACTGAGTTAGGATTCAAAGTTGCTATTTTCTCTGGCTACACACTGATTGATTTGCAATCACTGATCTGGTCTAATTCTATAACCTTTGATTGGTATTCTTCCACATCAGAGAGACACACCAATTAGAAATGCTTTTTTTTCTTTCTTTTTTTTTTTTTTGGTCACACATGGCTGTTCTCAGGGCTTACTCCTGGCTCTGTGCTCAGGCAGGGCTCAAGGAACCATAATAGTTGCTTAGAGTATAGAATCCAGGTCAACTGCATGCAAGTCAAGCTCCCTACCCACTGTATCATCTTTCTGGTTCCATATTTATGCATTCTTTAGAGAAAATCTCTAGAAATGTATCTCATTTTACAGACCACAAAATAGGCACAATTAAACTTTTATTCCATAAGGATATGAAATGTGTATTAGATGACAGAACCCTAAGGCCTTTACTCTTCATGGATAGAGTCCATGTATTAGCTTTGTCTTGCAATTTGGAAAAATCTGAGTTAGAGCTAGGCACTCCAAAAGATATTTGCTTAGTGGCTAGCACTGAAACCACAATCACCTCTTGAGGGGTTTCTTACCTCTTCGTTTCTCCATGTATTAAACAAATATACATATTTTCCAGGATAGCCCACAAACTTTCCTTTAAAGAAAGTTATATAGAAGCAGGACGAGTAAAAATTTACAAAATGAAACAGGAACATTTTCAAGGTAAGACTGCGTTCATACTCCTGGTAAGTTCGAGGAATTTCTGGCAAGTGAAAAATACCAAGGTTTAATACTAAGCCATCTTGATTTTATTTTAAATTTTGTAGATCCTGGAAAAAAGTGGTATCTAGTCATCATTATTCTGAATGTCTCTTGTTATAACCAAACTAATATTGAGTTATAAAATGTTTGTCCAAATTAATGCCCCAAATTAGAGAGAGAGTATTGGGGGAATTGTCTGCTATAGAGGTAGGGTGAGGACTGCAATGTGTATGTGTGTATGGGGGGGAGTATTGATACTTGGGACATTGGTGGTGGAAAATGTGCACAGGTGGAGGGATGTGTGTTCCATCATTGTATGGCTGAATCTCGAACATGAAAGCTTTGTAACTGTATCTCACGGTGATACAAAAAAATAAAAAAGTAATGTGAGTTCATGCCCAATTCAATCAGCTTAACCAATGGCTGAACAAATAGCAGTACTCCTACATTATTTAATAATAAAATAAAATAAATAAAGTATTTGTACTAAGCTTTCTTTAAAAAAAAATTTTACTGCAGTTTAGGTAACAAAGGTTACCATAACGTTAACCTTTATAGCTCCTATGTACGAAGTTCCTGCAGTCATTCAGAAGTCCCTCCACCCCTGTCCCTGTATTTCTGATCCCAGAGACTCAGTGTTCCCCTAGTGAACAGATCAATTGAAGATGTATTTCTGATACTAGAGACTCAGTGTTCCCCTAGTGAACAGATCAATTGAAGAAGAATTCAGAGTGGTAAAATATTTGGATGAAGTCACACAGATTATGAAATTCAGACCCACAAAACATCAAAGAGTTCTGTGTTCTTCTGAATATATAGTGTGGGATACTATAAACACCGATAGTCTTTCTGTAAACTAATACAGGTTTAAAAACGTAATCCACAACCTGAAACTGCATATTTTGATAGGATATAATTTGAAGAATACATGTTCCCCATACATAAAGGGTAGCTGGCAGTGGTTTTGACAAAGCCGTGTTCCTGTTTCACTTTATCTAAGCCCCTTTTTAATTAACTTCCCGCCCCAAGTAAGACCTGGAGAGAGAAATGCATTCCTTTCGAAGGATGTGGAGAAGGTGACCATTTAATGGACTGATGTGTTCTAGTTATGAAGGCAACTCCAGAGAACAGTGTCTGCTTAGCAAGAGCTGATTCACTATCACTATCACTATCACTATCACTATCACTATCACTATCACTATCACTATCACTATCACCCTGTTGTTCATCAATTTGCTCGAGCGGGCCCAGTAACGTCTCCATTCATTCCTGTCACATGCTAGTGTAGCCCGATGACATACTGGGGGCTCTTTCAGGGTGAGAGAAATGAGGACCATCATTGTTACTGTTTTTGGCATATCGAGTATATTACGGGTAGCTTGCCAGGCTCTTCTATGTAGGTGGGATACTCAAGAGTTGATTAGGTATGAGGAAAAGATGATTTGGGGGACAGTTTTCTTAACACTTGATGAATTTAAAGATTTTTAAATAAATATCTAAATCTTATGAAGGATTTTGTGGGAATATGAAATTCCCTAGATATTTCTGGTCTTGAGCTATGGAAAAAACTTAATATCCATCAAACTAGTAGTGGTTTCAGTTTTCAATTAAAAACTCAGCCTGAGAGTAATTTTCAAGTTGTTGTTTCCCTGTGTCATTACCCAGGTGGAAGAAATTAAGATTTACCAAATACCTTTCTATTTCAAGCTTATTTAAGACGTAAACATTCAAAGTAAAATCTAACTTCAGGCCTTTTGTGGTGGGTAGAGAGAAGAGAGGATGTAGTTAAGTCGTGACTTGACTGGCATTGGTGTATCAGCAGGTATTTATGTTTATTTGTTTTTCCTTCCCTTGACTCTTTTTTGATACCAACAATGAGCCAGGTTCCTCTTTGGGGCATGCTAATGAATGGCCAGCTTACCCATTTTTGTAATCCAGACAGATAATTTATCATAAAAGAAATTCAAGATCAAGATGACAATAAAGTTCAAGCATGATCCAGTAATCGATGTAGCTATCTGCGGAGTAATGATTGTCTTCACTTGATTTAAGGATGATTCACTTTCGATCAAGGAAGCAAATGTAGCAAACACTGAGAGACGGTATATAATCACAGCTACCATGCACACAATGATAAGACTCATCTGCAGAAAGGGAAAAAAAATCATTGGTCACTTTGGTTTCTGCACCTCCATGATTGCATGTCTCTCTGAAACAAACAATTCTTTTCAAAAAAACAAACCGAGCCATCTCTCTCACCAAAGAGGTAAGGAAATGAATGCTGATAGAGTCACAGGGTTAGAGACAAGACATATGGAAGCAGCTGGATAAATCTAAACTAAAAGTGTCCACTGCCCATTCTCTCAACCAGAACTTCCCAGACTTATTTAGCCAACCACCCCTTGTCCCCTTACCAGAATCAAGAAAATCTACCTTAAGAGAACAAACAGAAAAGGTGCCCAATAGCTCCTGATGCTAGTATCATCCCTCTGGATCATTCTACCACCGCCATCCCCACCTACTGCCCCCCCACCTTCTTCCAGAAAAAAAAAGTACCAGTCTGTGGCCCCTTGGAACATCCCACCACTTAGTATACTGCTGGGGTGGGGGTGGGGGTTCTATTCTGAAAGTTGAGGAACTGAATTGAAGTGAATGAGTTAGACGTAAATGAGAGAATTCTTTCTGTGAGTACAGTCCAGAATATTTATCTTCAGGACTCTCTGAAATTGATTCCTGCTTTCCTCCACTCTCTATTTTATCATCTAAGAAAATGAATTTCAAAGGGAAAAACAAATCTTTAACAAGAAATGTTTCTGGTAAAATATTATGGTTCAAGAGAGACTGGTCAGATTGATCTACATAATCATCTACCAACTATTTGTACTTTAACAACTATGGACCTTCTCAGAGGGTAACAACACCACTCCCCCTAAAATTAAAGGACAACTACAAGAAACAACAAACTGAGAAAGAGAGGGTAAAAACAGTATATCATGAAGGAGAAATCTAATTTAATTAATCTAATCTAATCTAATCTAATCTAATGCTCCCTCAAAATGGGATATGTTAATTAGGTTTTCAAGTCTTTATCAAGGTGAGAGTAGACTTTAGTAGTATGTCTGTTGTGATCAAATAGTATGTGATCAAATAGTATGTTTTTTTGTGATCAAATAGTATGTTGTGATCAAATGGTATGTTTGTTGTGATCAAATGCATTTTTAATTTTTTTACTTTATGCAGGTATATTTTATTTCATGCAGGTACATGAAGTGGAAATAAAGATAAATTATATTCTTTTCTAAAACTACCCTCTATAGGGGCTGAAGTGATAGCACAGCAGGTAGGGTGTTTGCCTTGCATGCGGCCAACCCGGGTTCAATTCCCAGCATCCCATATGGTCCCCCAAGCACGGCCAGGAGTAATTCCTGAGTGCATGAACCAGGAGTAACCCCTGTGCATCGCTGGGTGTGACCCAGAAAAGCAAATAAATAAATAAATAAATAAATAAAACTACCCTCTATATGGGTAATCAGATTGTTTGTTAGGACTGGAGAGATAGTACCAGTTTAAGGCGCTTGCATGTGGCCAGTCCCCCAATTTGATCCCCGATACCATATGAAACCCTGAGCAGAGATGGGAAAAGTCTCCAGTACGGAGCTGAGAGTTGCATCTTAGCTCCACTTGGTGTGGTTAAGACCCCGCCTCCCACCCCTGCCCCCCCAACACACACACACACACACACACACACACACACACACACACACACCAAATTGTTATACTGTTTTGGTTCCTAAGTTATTTCCTAAGTAATGAACATTTAAGAAGGGGGAGGATCCTCCCAGGATGAGAGAAGCATGCTGCAAGTACACTATAGACCAAACATGATTGTCACCCATTGCCTCTTTTGCAAACCATAACACCCAATAAGAGAGAGAACAACTGCCACAGAGGCGGGGTGGGATGGGGGGAACGGGGGATGGGAGGGATACTGGGATCCGTGGTGGTGGGAAATGGGCACTGGTGGAGGGATGGGTATTTGATCATTGTATAATTGAAACCCAAGCACAAAAATTTGTAAATCTACAACTGTACCTCATGATGTCTCACTAATAAAAAGAAAAAAAAAAGATAAAAAAAAAGAAAGGAGTGGCTAGGCTTTAAGATAAATTAACTCTCTTACCTCAGTTCTTTTTCTGAAGTTTACTTATATGAATAATAGTTTATGCAAGAATATATTCAAGACGTAAAGGAAAAAAAACTGAGAGAAGGGGAAAAAGGGAATCAAGGGCCTTAGCTGTCAAAATGTTGAGATAGTCTTATTGAGGCTCTATGGTATGTTAGCATTGGAAAAGGTGCTCACCGAAAATGCCACCGTGGCTACTGATAAAAAGTACCATGGAAGACGTTTACGTAGAGGCAGATAAGGCTCCATTTCTGGTAACTGTGAAGGAAGCATAGTAAATTAAAAACCTACCTTCAAAGTTGGAACTCTTGGAACTGAAAAATCACAAAGCAAAAAAAAGTCACAAAGCAGTTAAAATAGAAAACATTAAAAAGGGGCCCCTGCATCTTATGGACAGCTCCATTCTACCAATAGTGTCTTTCCTTTAAATAGACATATAAAAGGCTCTGAGTAGCAATATGAGGCATGATAGATACACATTGCTTCCCGAATACTGACACTACAAGTCTGGTAGGTAAGAAATCAAAGATCAAATGCATAAGACTGCTGTCTGTGTGGACAACCCTTAGTAACATTACAGTTATATTCCAATTAAATTAATTTGAATTTAGTTGAACTCTACTGCTCTGTAGCTCTGCACAAATAAGAGTCAATATCTATTTATTAGGCATTACCTACAAAGGATTGCAATTTTTTTTAAAGCAAAAGGCCTAGGCTTTTCCATCTTCCTGTATTTTTATAATCACTAATGGAGAGGAGTAGTTATATAAGTTGACCGTCTTTGCTAAATCAGGGGACAGACACATATTACTCAATATAAAGCCACTACTTGACTATGAACAGAAATCCAAAATTTTCAATTCTATTTAAAAATAAGATTTTATAATTAAGCAAGTTCAAGGAGGGAAGCAGGCAAATAGAACTCAGTAGGCAGAACAGGTTGTTCAAGAATGCAATAAAGCCCCATGATGCATGCATGTGTGCCTTTATATGATTGCGTTCAGATGAGTTCAATGTGCATTATAAGAGCTCATGTAAATGTCTGCATATTTTTAATATCCATGTGTATGTTTCCAGGCATGTATGAGTGTTCCTAGTACACACTTCACTGTGAGAACGCTAATTATTCTTTTATTTTTAATGGCTTTTTTGGGTCACACCTAGAGATTTCCAGGAATTAGTTATCCCTGACTCTGTACTCAGTGGAACTTGAGGGACCATATGGGATGCTGGGGATTGAACCTTGGTTGGCAGCATGCAAGGCAAATACCCTCACTGCTAGACTATCACTCCAGCCCTCTAATTATTCTTAACCAGTGAAGAATCAGTACAACACATGAACAAAAGCTCTCTCTTGATTTCACAACCATCACATCTATATGGCGGTTTTCAACTGTTTCAAAATGTGAACAATTCAGTACATAATTTTTTGGCAATGATGTTTGGAAAAGCCAATAAGCCAGCATTGACTTTTTGTCAATCTTGTGAAATAGTAAAACTGCACATTATACATTACTATGATAAGGTGTTTTAACATGCTCTCTAAATTTCAAACCACTATGTAATTTGCTCATTGATTTTCAGAGTTTCTTTCCTTTGACTTCTTTACTGACTTTTTGATGTAATGTTTCAATACAATTTAATAATTAGTAAACAAACTATAAAAATAATTTTAAGTACCATTATAATAGTGTTTTGAACATAGTATGGAGTTCTACTGAAATGATTGTATGAGATAGTATATTCCCTTTTAATTAACGTCAGATAACACAATGATTATGCATCATGGAAATGTAGCGATCCTAAGAACATATAACCAAAAGTTTTCTCTTTTAAGGCTAGTTATCTTTCATTGTCCCTTGAAAAAGGTAAAAACATACCACAAATTTATTACTCAGTAGCAGCTCACTTTTCTAAAGTTCCCCAAATCTAAAGACTCTTCCTCTCCCCTCCACACCAATAAAGTGATCACCTCAGTATAATCAAGTAAAAGGGACATGGCAAATATGTCAGTAGAGCAATACAATAACTTATAATCCACTAATATAATACTTTTTTGTGCATATTGCTCAGTATGATTTCTATGTATATACACATAGATACACAAAAAAGCTTGTAGCATATGCACTAATAATCATTTACCTTTTATTTCACTTAGTATTAAAACCATCTTATGATGTAATGCTTTGGGTCTGTGTCAAAATTTAATGGCAGAGAGCAGTAAGTATCTAGACTAAATAACACTGTCCAATAATTAATATAACTATAGTTGGGTAATGAAAAAATCCTGAGGTCATTAAGTTTTTTAAGTTTTGTCTGTGTCTTAAATATATTAACAACAAGAAGATTGAATGATATGTGTTGTAGAATATCTCAAAAGCAAATTAAAATACACATAATTTATATAAAAAATTTACAACAGTGTATCCACTGAGATATGATGACCAATTTACTTTTTAATCTACCTTAGTAATAACATTAATTTTCCTTTTTTTACACATAGCTTCATATTCAGGTCTCAGCTGAAGTTGCTGATGCTCCTCTTCAAAATCCACCATGTCCCAATCAGATTCTAGTCTCGCCTGTCGTTGTTTCCAAAATTTCAAAAACAATGTGACTATGGGCAAAGAAATGTATAAAAACAAATACAATTCAGAGATGGCGAAACAAAATGTATAAGAGTATGAATGGTTTCTTCTTTATCTTAACAGTAATTTCGATTGCTTGATGGTTTTGTACTATTATGTTAATAAAAAAGTTATAAAATTGTTAGTTTGGAAATAATTACGTGCATAATTATTGAAATGACTCACAATATAAAAAACATAAGATGGGCCTGAAATGTGGTTCAGCAGTAATGAAGATGCAGCATGTGCATGAGGTCCTGAGTTCAATTCCTGGCACTGATTCACATTGCCAAGTGCAATCCCTGGTACTTCCAAGTGTAACCCACCACAACAAACAAATTTATCACCTAACATTGCAACAAATGTGTTTTACTCCCCAATGTCCCACTCCCCACTGTAACAACAATAATAACAACAACATAATACAAGATAAATCCTTAGACGGCAGTCAGTTCATGTAAGATTAAGTCTTTTTAGGTACATTAGTTTGTGTCTTTATTCCCACGATTTGAAGTCCAAACTTGATTTTTTCCTAACACCATGATTTTGTTAGCAAGTCTTTTACCAAAAAATATTCAACCAATTTTAATACTCTATTGAGATTAAGAAAATTTACGGAAAATATAATAGCCATTTCACAGCACAATCTCATTATATATGTGTATATATCACTACAAATAATCTTGCTGCTGGAAGTATTTTTGTAATATGTATTTGACGTACATATTCATGTCTTTCTAGTGCACACAGAATACTAAACAAAGCAACATTAACATAATTTTAACATCTATAATGTTTCCTTTCCTCTAAGTTCCAAACTTCCAAATAATGTTAAGAAACTATGTACTCTGGGACCAGGTGGATGGCTCAGAGGGTTATATTATATGCTTTGCATTCAGGAACCTTGGTGCATCTCTGACCACCTTCACTGCATTCTGTCTGTTTCTATAAATCAGGTCCTTTATAAATTGTGATTCTGAAGTATTTTCCTGTCTGTGCCTGCCAAAATTCACTGAGCATAATTTTCGCAAGGTCTATACATGTTGTGATATATTTCAAAATTTCTACTTTTTAAGATTTGATAATATATATTATTTATTTCTAATGGTAAATACCACAGCTATTATATATGGATATATAATATGCTTATTTCTTTATTCATCTATTTATGAGTATTTCATTTGTTTCCACATTTTGAGTACTGTAGATACTGTGCTGCAATAAACATCTTCAAGAGCTTGTTTTGTTTAAGCATCAGATATTGAAGTACTACATCATATGGGAGTTCTCTTTTGATTAATTTATTGTTTGGGGTACCAAACCACTGAGCAACATCTCTGGCTCCCTATTCTTTTATTGTAAAGTTTCAAACTGTTTTCCAGCTACACCATTTAACATTCCTACCCATAATATGCATGAGTTCATTATACTTCTCCAGTTCTTCACCAGCTTTTGTTCTGACAATAGTGATTGTGACAATAGAAAAATGCTGATTTTGATTTACACTTATATGTAAATATAAATATATATATATATATATATTTACACTTACCATTTTCATACATCTCTCTCTAGGATATGTATTTCTTTGTTTCCTCTCACACTTAAGTAAATTTCTTTAAATAAAATAATTTTGCCTTACAAAAAAACCCCAAATAAATAATTCAGACTAATGAGTGCATTGTCTATTCTTCAAGATTAACTTTGGTGAGGATTAACACTGATTTCTGATGTTGAAATGGGCACCCAAATAATGAATGGGTTGTCCAGCCCTCATCCCAGGGCCTTGAATTTTTCAGAGCTTTGGGGGACTTTTTGAACTTTGATGCAGTTCTAGGGTACCTTTTCTTTTTAGTAAGTCAAAAAATTTCTTTCCACAGATAGTGTCTCGTGATTATATGAGCATATTTACTCATGATTATATGAGCATATTTACGTGATTATAATGAGCATATTTACTGAAGACTCAAAAACATTATATCTATTTGTATATTTTCTTTGTTTTGTCTTTTAAAATATTTGGATCACACTAACGGGGTCACCAGATGCTACAGAAACCATGTTTGGGAAGGGTGTGAGCTTTGGGAGGTGCTCACGAAATGAGGAAGAAAAGAGGATCCAACCCTCAGTCCTGGCCCCTTGTATATTTGATTGCTGAGTAGAGTTCTTTCTGCACTTTTAAAATCAGGTTAATGGTGTTTCTGTCACACATAAACTATTTTGGAGATTAAACACTCTCAGATATATAGTTTGTAAATATTTCTGTCACTGTTTAGGTGCCTTTTTACTTCACTGTTTAATTTGCTGTACAGAAGTCTTCTAAGTTCCCACATATGGTTTTTTCTTTTTTTTTGATTCTGCTTTTGGGATTTAGTGCCATATTCATGAAGTCATTGAAGACCAAAGTTGAAGTTCTTTTTTCTATATTTTCTATATTTGTTCCTTGGAGACCAGTTGTAGTTACTGGTTTTGGCATATCGAATACACAGCGGATAGCTTGCCAGGCTCTTCCGTGCGGGCGGAATACTCTCGGTAGCTTGCCAGTCTTTCCGAGAGGTATAGAGGCTTTCGGGGTGACCTCTAATCACCCTTGTAGGTGTTACCATATTTGAACCCTATCAAATATGGTACGACAATTCCAGAAGACGGGTATTTGGTGTCTTATGATGTGTCGCGTGGCCGCTTGCGGCCGCGCGGGTCCGGAAAGCGTCCTGGAGTGTGGCGACGGCTGGGTAGTGGAAGTAGTGTCGAGAGTGGAAGTCTGCCAGTGGGATATTTATCTGGGTAGGGTGGGTCTCCTGTGCACAATTCGATCCCTGGGTGGTTGATGGAAGCAGACAGGGCAGGGTAGGGTGGGGCTCCTAATTAGAATCCCTTTGTCACCTGTGGTGGTGGGAGCAAGCAGAGAAGCTCTGTCCCTGGGTCCGCCGAGCCTGGAGTCCAAGGTCTCAGAGAGTTCCGCTTACCTTGTTCTGTGGGTCTTCAGTTGTGCGTGGGTCTCGGCCGGAGCGGCCGTGCGGGTCCGGAAAGCGTCCTGGAGTGTGGCGACGGCTGGGTAGTGGAAGTAGTGTCGAGAGTGGAACAATGATGACATTGTTTTAATAACACCAAACATCAGCCAAGCGGCACAAATGCTGGCCGACTTTGACCGTGAGTGTGGAAAGGTAGGACTACAGCTGAATCTTACGAAGACAATGTTTATGAGAAACAGCCTTGTTCCTGACGCCCCATTCGCTCTCAATGGAACGACCATCTCCGAATGCAACAGCTATGTGTACCTAGGTCGAGAGGTCAACATGACAAATGACCTGGCACCCAAGCTGCGCAGGAGGAAGAGAGCGGCTTGGAACGCCTTCAAGAACGTCGAAGAAATAGCTAAGAGGACGAAGAACCTCCGGCTCCGGGCACATCTCTTTGATTCCACTGTTCTTCCTGCATTAACATATGCCTCAGAGACCTGGGCCCTACGCAAACAAGATGAGAACGCCATTCAGGTCTCCCAAAGAAGAATAGAAAGAGCTATGCTTGGAATGTCACGTTTCACTCAAATGAGAGAACGAATCCGGAGTTCTGACATCCGTCGACGATCAAGGATCAGGGACGCTGTCTCATATGCCAAGGTATCGAAAATCAAATGGGCTGGTCACGTAATGAGATTTAAAGACGACCGTTGGACTAGAGCTGTTACTGATTGGATTCCACGGGATGTCAAGAGACCGCGTGGCCGCCCACCTACCAGATGGTCAGACTTCTTTGTCAAGGTCATGAACGATCGGTTTGAGGCCCTCCATGTTCCCGGAGCGAAGAGATGCCATTGGGCTACACTAGCACGCGACAGGGACAAATGGAGACGTTACTGGCGCCCGCTCGAGCAAATCGACGACTAACGGGAAGTTAAGTGATTAAGTGAAGTGAAGTTCCTTGGAGAAATCCTATTGAGTATTAGTTAACAACATATGTGTGGCATTATTTCTGATATTTATTCTGTATTCTGTTCTTTTTTTAAGTCTTTTTTTAAGTCAATATCAAACTTGCTAAATCACTGTAACTTTGTAATGTGCTTTCAAACCAAGTAGTGTGGTGTCTCCAAATTTTTTATTTTATGAAAATTGGTTTGGCAATTTGTGTTCTAGTGTGATTCCATGAGATTTTTTAAGTTACTTTTTCTGGTTTTGTAAAATATTCCACTGGAAATTGATAGAAGTCAAAAAATTGATAGAGGTCAAAAAATTGATATACGTCAAAAAGTATTCACATTACTTTTGATAGTATAGTCCTGTTAGTATTTAGTTTTCAGCCAAGAACACACAATCAACTCTTTTTTTATGTCTCCACACATTTAAAAACATAGATAGTCTTGATTTACATTTTTCTTAAAAGAGTATATTTAAGCTTGAATGGATTAGTAACATTTACCCATGATTCAACATCCTCAAGCCACTAAATTTAATTCTCCTAGGGTAAGTATGTATTGAATTTGTCCGTTTTTGCCATAGTGCTTTTAGATATTATAAATTAAATGTATCAGAAGTTTCAAAACCATACTGTACCTCAGAATAATAATAAGATTGTTAATAGGCACTTTTTTTTTTTGCTTTTTGGGTTACACCCGGCAATGCACAGGGGTTATTTTTGGCTTTGCACTCATGAATTACTCCTGGCGGTGCTCAGGGAACCATATGGGATGCTGGGAATTGAACCTGGGTTGGCTGCGTGCAAGGCAAATGCCCTACCTGCTGTACTATCGCTCCAGCCCCAGTAGAGACCTTTTATGGATCAAGGACCAAGGTTTAAAAACTTCTGATAGAAATTTTCATCTGTGTGTGGATGGCATGGATCTAGCAAAGGCAAAAGATCATCTTCGGTATATAAGGTATGCCATATAATTATGCTACACAGATGGACCATATAACAATATGGAGAAATCTGGGTTTATATGTCTATATACTCACCCCAAATTGACATAAACATTGCAAAGAATACTGTTGACTCATTATCGAATAAATGGGAGAGCTGTGAGAACAACAAAATTATAGACTCCTTAGTATAGAATGAAACACGAAGCAGAAAATTCCAAGTCTTAAAATCATATCACAATATATATTATACCTTTGAGCTCAAACAGGTAGAATTTAATCTCCAGTATTCACACAGTAGATCACAGAGTGGGCACATGATAATCTGACCTCCAATGTCAGGGTCACAGATTTCATTGCTGCATAGGAAACAGTAACATTGTTTTTAAAGTGTGAGTGTTAGGGCTCCACCAATGGCTGTTCTCATTATAAAAATTCCCTGTACAGCTGCTCACATGAGGCAGAGGAAAGCTTGAAACAGTAATCCCTATAACAAATTAAATCATGCTTAAGTAACAGTACTTTAGAGCAGATCTTTTAAAAATGACTTTGTAGTCATTTTCAAGTGAGCAGCAGTTGTTAAACTTGTATATTTTTTCAGGAATATTAATTAGCTTCTCATGTAAGGAAATATTCTGAAACCAAGGATATAACATTTTCAATTGGTATAAGATACAGGCGTGTTCTCTATTTAGGCAACTTGAATGCACTTACCTGGTTGTATTTTGATTCACTGACAATAAGCCGTAAGTAAAAAAAAGAAAGCCAACAATAGCAGCGAAGACCAGCATTTTTGTGTAGTATCCAAGAAAGACAAAATATATACCAACTTTTTCTCCATAATAATCCCTATGAAAGAGGGTAAAAATAAAATCAGAAGCTGGAAAAAGTATACAGTTCAGAGAGCTTTGGTTTTGTATCCAGACAAGCATATATTTGAATTTTGGCTGCATACTTTAGAGATGCAATTTTGTCCAAGAAACTAAACTAGCTAAACTTTAATTTCAACACCATTAAACATCATAAGTTTTAACAATGATGCTTAGAAATAGTTAAGTAGGAATCTAAGCAGAAGCTAAAAGTTCTAAATAAATAAGTTTTGGAAAGCTTACATTTTTTTTTTTGCTTTTTTGGGGGGGAGGTCACACCCGGTGATGCACAGGGGTTACTCCTGGCTTTGCACTCAGGAATTACCAATGGCGATGCTCAGGGGACCACATGGGATGCTGCAAATCGAACCTGGGTCAGCCGCATGCAAGGCAAATGCCCTACTCACTATGCTATTGTTCCAGCCCCAATCTTACAAAATTTATAGTTAACTATCTTGAAATAAATGTCCAAAAATTTTACATACAACTTTTATGAGTCAAATTAAAAAAATTAGAACCACAATCTGCATGGATTTTATTTTATTTCTAAAATTGAAGAGGTATTCTGACCATACTAGGCCAGATCATGGTATATATGAACTTCTGCCTTACTTTTTTAAACTCTTTTATTATTATTATTATTTTTCTTTTTGGGTGATACCCAGTGATGCTCAGGGGTTACTCCTGGCTCTGCACTCAAGAATTACTAGTGGTGGTGCTGGGGGAACCATATGGGATGCCAGAGATCGAACCCAGGTGGGCTGCATGCAAGGCAGATGTTCTACCTGCTGTACTATCATTCTGGCCATTCTGCCTTATTTTAAATCAGATTGAGTGTTTTTGTTTGGTTTTTGACCACACTTGGCTCTTCTCAGGGTTTACTCCTGGCCCTGTGCTCAGGGATGACACTTGGTGGTCTTGAATTGCTTGTTTGGAGGAATGCTTCTGAGCTGTTTTAAGAAGGACCAAGGACCACTTCCAGTGATATCCAGTCTGCTTGGCCACATTGCTAGGTTCCTGGTGGCACTGCTTGGGCCCTGCAATCAGGAATATGTTCTCAGTGGGTCTTCAGAGAAACATGCGGGGATGCTTGGAGGTCTTCCTACAGAGCTACACCCAATGATGATGCTGGGGAGGATGTGTCAAGCCTTATCACTGAATAGAACCTGGGTCAAGCAACTTGGTAGTTTCTAATTCCCGAACTATCTCCAACCAGTTGCTGACAAACATTTACAGAATTTTTGAATAATTAGCAAACCAAGGAACTAAAAATGATGACTCAATAAAAATTCCATATAGCATAAAAGTTAGCTGCAGCTTTACAAACAAATGAAAAGCAGCATTATTTAGGTTAAATATTTAAATGTTAAAATCACATTTTTGTTTCATTTTTTTAAAAAACAGGAGTACTTAAAGAATTCCTTGAGTAACCATAAGGCATAGTTTACTATGACTCAAAAAAAATGAGTTTTCCCTACTTAGTCCAGATTAATACTCTATCTTATTCATTTAGAATCAAATTCACCAAATCTTTGAGGTCTTACACAATTTCTTTAACAGATGATGTTATCTCTTATGGATTCTATAGTACTTCATATTAAGTTGCAAATCTGTTACAGCATTTTAATAATTAAGCTGCAATTTCCATAAAACTCAAAAAGAACTCAACTCTATGCAAAAGGCATGAACATAATTTCACAATAAGTATATTTTCATTTCTGTCTTATTCTTTATTAATTTTATGGAAACTCCCGTTCTTCGATTTTTAAAATTCTTAATCTTTTCTAGCACTTGTAATCTTTTATCCACCTAAAATAACTTTAACTGGCACCTTTTGCTTGTATTGCTTCTGTGCTTTTTAATGATAATATGCTTCTGCACTATTATTTACTCTTATCTGGCTACTAGATAAGAGTAGGGCTAGAGCGATAGCACAGCGGGTAGGGCGTTCGCCTTACAAGCGGCCAACATGGCCGACCCGAGTTCGATTCCTCCGCCCCTCTCGGAGAGCCCGGCAAGCTACCGAGAGTATTCGATATGCCAAACACAGTAACAACAAAGTCTCCAATGGAGATGTTACTGGGCCTGCTCGAGCAAATCTGGCTACTCAAATCAGATTTAATATGGCATTGAATTGTAAGTACAGATATGGGAGCCCAGCACTTCCCTATATGGTCCCTGCTGTCCTTCTCCATAAGCTACCTCATCCAGGGTTAAGTCTGTTCCTCTTCCTCAGGTGAGGACCCAAGGCCCAAGCTAGACTCTCTGGAGCCTGATGCTTGCTGAATGTACCTCTATCACTCCCAGGCAAGATCTCCACTGAGATCTTCACTTAGGCAGGCAGCTGAAGACTTAGAAATAATGATGAAGAGGAATCAAAGAGATGTGATGTGGGCACATCTCTTTGATTCCACTGTTCTTCCTGCATTAACATATGCCTCAGAGACCTGGGCCTTACGCAAACAGGATGAGAATGCTATTCGGGTCTCCCAAAGAAGAATAGAAAGAGCTATGCTTGGAATATCACATTTCACTCAAATGAGAGAAAGAATCCAGAGTTCTGACATCTGTTGACGATCAAGAATCAGGGACGCTGTCTCGTTTGCCAAGGTGTCAAAAATCAGATGAGCTGGTCACGTAATGAGATTTAAAGACGACCGCTGGACTAGAGCTGTTACTGACTGGATCCCACGGATGTCAAAAGACTGCGTGGCCGCCCACCTACCAGATGGTCAGACTTCTTCATCAAGATCATGAACGATAGGTTTGAGGCTCTTCATGTTCCCAGAGTGAACAGATGCCATTAGGCTACACTAGCACGCGACAGGGACAAATGGAGACGTTACTGGCGCCCGCTCGAGCAAATCGACGATTAACGGGAAGTTAAGTGATTAAGTGATTAAGTGATGAAGAGGAAGAATCCACCTATACAAATAAACAATGACAGAAGCCCAGGAAGGACACCAAGGTCTCTCTAATCTCAAAGATGGTTTCAAGGTCATAGTGATTAGGATTGTTCACTGAACTGAATCAAACAATAGAGGAGAATATTTTTTTTTGGGTCACACCCGGAGATGCTCAGGGGTTACTCCTGGCTCGTGCACTCAGGAATTACTCCTGACGGTGCTCAGGAGACCATATGGGATGCTGGGAACTGAACCTGGGTCAGCCACATGCAAGGCAAACGTCCTGCCCGCTGTGCTATTACTCCAGCCCAGAGGAGAATTTCAATAGAAGAAAATATATGAGTACTACATTTTTCAGGAACACCACAGCCACCTCAAAGTAGGAGAACTGAAAACCACAAGTTGCAGAATGACAAAAGCAGAGGAATGAATTAATAACTGACAAGATGTATGAAGTCATTCAAAAAATAAAAAAGGAAAAATTTTTAAAAAATGAAAAAGAATCAGAGATCTTAGGGACATCCTGAAGAAAAGAGAATCTTAAAATTAGAGTAGAAAAAATTCCCAATTAATGTACACCCCCAAACCTAAGAAATTCAGGAAGTACTAAAATCCCAAACAAACAAACAAACAAAAAACCACCAACACACACAACAAGTAAAATGGCATGAGCCAAATTTAGAAACATTATCCCTAGAGCAGTATGAACACAAAAACTACACACAAGGGAGCTCCCATAAAAATCAGAGCAGATATTTTAAATAAAAGCTTTCAGAAACAGCATGATAAATACAACACAGTGAATGAAATAGGCATCCAAACAAGAGTATTTCATCCAGTTGTGTAATCATTCATACTCAGTGGAACAGTATAAAACATCACTGACAAACTGTTTTAAAAAATGTTAGTGGTCACTACAGAGGCATGCCTAAATGCACTAAACTGTCTCATATAAAAGGGTAAAGACACAAAGACTAACTACAGAAAGTATCCAGAATCCACCGAAGAAAATGACATTAAATCCCTTATGTCAATAATTTCATTAAATGTCAATGACCCGAACTTACCAATGAAAAGGTATAGAATGTGGATGAATCCATAAACTAAACCCTACTGTCTGCTACTTACAAAGAGATTGCCTGAACTGTTATTTCAAAAATAACTCAAAGTAGAAGATTGGAAAACAATTGTTCAGGAAAATAGTCGGCTAAAACAGGCAGAAGAGATCACACTTTTATTGAAGAAAATGGACTTTAATCTAAAAAAGATACTAATAGACTGAGATGGACATTAAAAAGCGTCAAAGGATTCATATACCATGAAGACATAAAGCTCATTTAGTGGGGCTGGAGAGATTTACAGCTGGTAATGCTAGCTATGCACACAGCTGACCTAGATTCCCATTCCCAGTATCCCACATGGTTCTCCCAGCCTTGCCAGGAGTGATATCTGAGTGCAGAGCCAAGAATAAGCCTTGAGCACCACTGTGTATATTCCAAAACACAAAAGCAAGCTCATTAATAAATCACTAAACTAGTAATTATCAAAATTCATTAAAAATATGCTAGTAGATCTAAAGAAAAATATTGATAGCAATACAATAGTAGCAGCAAATTCTCACCATTGGATAGATCAAACAGATAAGCAATAAGGGAACAACAACTTTAAAAGATAAAGCAGAAGATAAAGCAAATTGATGAACAATGGGAAGACAGTGCTACAGTGCTACTATGCTATATTCATGCATTTATGTGTTTTCCTAAAATATATGCAAGCTATATTTATAGTCCTAGTCTCTTGTCTAATATATAGTTATAAGTTATATATATATATACATATATATCAATATATAGTTTGGTTGCTAATTGAAGGAATATATACATTGTTATTATTCATTTATAGATATACCTTTCTCTTTTCAATGTTATTTTAATTTTGTTCAAATATTCCCATGAACTCTTCCTTTAAAAGTATAAAATATTTTGGGTCTTTTGACCCAAAAGCTTTGTAACTGCTCTCACGGTGATTCAATAAATAAAATTATAAAAAATGGAAAAAAAAGTAAGGTGGAGTTCATGCACAATTCAATCAGCTAATCAGTGGCTGAATAAATAGCAGTACTCCTACATTTAAAAAAAAAATAAAAGGTTAAAATCAATAAAGAGAGGAAAGAAAATATACAGACCTTCAGTATCAGGGCAGAAAACTTTATAATCTTCAAACTATCTGTAAATAAAGCAATAAACCGATTCCAAAAGACTATCTGCCAACTGCTACCACAAACCTTGAAGACAAAGATCAGAAAGAAAGATGCTACAGGAATTCTAGGAGAAAAGTGTAAACTGAGGTTGAGCTTTTAAATAAACAGTGACAAAATAGTCCCTGAGGAGAAGGAAGTATCCAAGCAAGTGCCATGATACTGAACATTTTGAAATGGTAATTCACAGTGCAAGGGGAAATAAAGAAGAAATCTGAATACTAGCAAGAACAGGCAGTTTCCCATCCAAGTACTAACCAGGCCCAACCCTGCTTAGCTTCCGAGATCAGACGAGATCGGGCGCGTTCAGGGTAGTATGGCCCTTGGGCTGGAGGGATAGCACAGCGGTAGGACGTTTGCCTTGCACACAGCCAACATGGCCGACCCGAGTTCAATTCCTCTACCCCTCTCGGAGAGCCCGGCAAGCTACCGAGAGTATCTCGCCCACACAACAGAGCCTGGCAAGCTCCCCGTGACGTATTCGATATGCCAAACACAGTAACAACGAAGTCTCTAATGGAGACGTTACTGGGCCCGCTCGAGCAAATCGATGATCAACGGGAGGGCCTTTACCTCAGGCCTTTTAGCAAGAACAATGAGAACTGGCAGCCTCATTGAGGCAATGATTCTGAGGGAAGAATCAATGACAATATACCTTAAGTGTGCGCAGTAAAGGTAAAGAAGAGTGGTTAAGATCCTGTAGCAGTGAAAGAAATAGAATACAACAGTCGAACAGCATGCTGCATGAAAGAAATTGTGTGAAATAGAAAAAAATTAGTAAGAGTACACTCTAGTGCTAGGGACTGGTAGGCAAGGTTTCAAGTAGAAAAAAAGGTGTAGTAAACAAAAGAAACCATAAGCAAAGATAAAATGCTAAAGCAAAAATGCTGAGAAATATTAGAAACTGATATTACAAACTAAAGAATTCTAAGTTCCCTCCCCCATAAATAAAGAACTAATAAACTTGAGAAATTAGACAAAATCTTATGGATACAAGATATTATTAAACAATATGAAAAACACACAATATTTGTAATTTACACAACGTTTGCATTGTAAAATTACAAAATAGAATTACACCTGTCATATTTTCAAAAATATTAAAGCATCCACTTTGTACAAAACATAAAGTTCTGAAGAATACTAAAAGCAGAAATACTTGTAAAAAAATTTTAGAAGTTTTAATTGCCAGGTTAACAAAAATTCTCAACATATTTTGTATATTTGCCTACATTTTAACAACTGTAAAAATCATCTCTTACGGCACAGTATCTACAAATGTTCCAGCCAAACTGATTTTACTGGTAAAAGTGTTAGAACAAGCTAATATTTTTCAGTAGAAAAAAATAGAAAAATGAGGGTCAGAGATAGTACAAGACATAAAGTGGTTGCCTTGCATGTGACCGCTTAATGACTTCAATGTATGTAAAGGTAAAAAGGCCCTCCCGTTGGTCATCGATTGGCTCGAGCGGGCCCAGTAACGTCTCCATTGGAGACTTTGTTGTTACTGTGTCTGGCATATCGAATACGTCACGGGGAGCTTGCCAGGCTCTGCCGTGCGGGCGAGATACTCTCGGTAGCTTGCCGGGCTCTCCGAGAGGGGCGGAGGAATCGAACTCGGGTCAGCCATGTTGGCTGCATGCAAGGCAAACGCCCTACCGCTGTGCTATCGCTCCAGCCCATCAATGTATGTAATAGTAGTATAACTGGGCTAGAGGGATAGTACAGGGTGCTTGCTTTCTATAAGAGTGACCAAAGTCTGATTTCTAGAACCACATATGGTTTCCCAAACCCTGCTAAAATTGACTTCGATAGACAGGGCTAGGATAAGTTCTAAGTACCACTGGGTGTGGTCCCAAGACAAACAAAAAGGTAAAAATATTGATATACTTGAAAGCAGGGAGTTTCAACCACAATTTTCTCAGTTGAAAAAGCTGATTAAGTAAATGAAGTTAGTCATAGCTGTTGGAGAGAATACAGTGGCTAAGTAAGGCGCTTGCCTTACATGCAGTAGACCCAGGTTTGATCCCTGGCAATCCCATATGGTCCCCCAAGTCAGTCATGTGTGATCTCTGTGTGTAAAACCAGGAGAATGTCCTGAGAACAGATAGGTGTAGCGCAGAGAAACAGAGAGAGAAAGAGAGAGAGAGAGAGAGAGACAAACACAAAGAGAGAGACAGAGAGACAGAGACAGAGACAGAGAAAAAGAGACAGAGAGACAGAGAATAGAATAAATTATCTTTACAGCACTCTGATATCAACATTACCAAACATACATCCACATTTCCACATTCAATCTTTCTGCTGTCTTCAAAATTCTTTGATTTAGAAATAAAACTAAGTTAATTCATAGGAAGCACTAAATACTAGTCTCCATAATAAGATATACATATCTCATCCAATTCCAAATAACAACATAAAAAAAGCATTACTATTATTACTCCCATTTCAGGTGAGTTTTTTGAAGGTTAAGTAAATTGACCTAGTTTATAGAGAAGTTTCCAAGAGAAACTTTTTGCTAGGGAGTTCCTGGTACTCACAGGATCATCCAGTTGGAAGGGATAGAACTCAATGCTCTGGCATACAGTTTCCTGCTCCAGCCCTTTGAGACATTTTCCTGACATCAAGAATGTAAATATCAACCAGGCCTACGGAAATTCCAAGCCTAAATTTCTGAACCACTGAGCTACTGCTGCACAGTGGTTAAGAGCCTTCTGGAAGTAGTATTCCATTCGGATATCAGTAACTAATTAATCACATAGACACAAAGATGTGAAGTTAGGAAGGAACTCAATGTAATCAGTGAAATTAAAAAAAAAAGGAAACATCATATCACTGTGAATAAAAATCACATCACCAAGCTTTAATTTGATCTTGTGTGAGAAACTTATATAAATACAGGTTGAGAGAGAGTTCAAAGAGTTAATGGTATGTTTTGTACATTGCAAACTAGGGTTTGGTTCCTGATACAGGGCACAGACTCGTGAGCCATGCTGACAGTGACTCCTTAGCACAGAGTCAGGAGAAGCTCCCCCAAGAACCACTGGGAGCATGCCCCCACCCCCAAGAATAAAGAAGAAGAGAGATACTTACTTAATCAAATTTAAAGGCTGCTCCTTATAAAAATTGGCAAACCCAGCCCAGTCCTTGCAAAGCAGGTGCCTTTCATTGACAGGACTAGGTGGGTCAGAAGGCTTCCAGTACTGACCCTATTAAAGAAGAAAGAATTTAATGATAAAGCAAGTGAAGAGGATAAAGGAAAGGAGCACTTAATTTATAAAAAGGTTAGCAAGTGTTTTTTGTTTGTTTGTTTTTACATCTGGATTTTCAGGTTAAACTGGTATGAAACTATTTACTAAAATCTACAATAAACTCTACAAATTGTTACTCCAAGTCTGTGGCTCATTTTTCTCTTCTTGAAAATGGCTTTGGAAGAGTGGGGGTTTCATATTCAGGAAGACAAATGATCCTTCTGTTATTTATATTTGATGCTAGGAAAGCATTGCCTGCCCAAGAATGGGATTTTCTTTAATGTTAGCTTCTAGAAACTTTACTAAGTTCATCTTTATCTTTACATCAAAAACTTATTTTAATTTTTGTTGGTTGGTTTGTTCTGTTTAGGGGGTCACACTCAGAGGTGTTCAGGGCATACTCTTTGCTTTATCTTCTGAAATCACCCCTGTTCAGAGAATCTTATGTGGTGCTACAGACTGAGCCCAGTTCGGGCACAAGGCAAATGCCCTGCCTATGTCTTCAGCACAAATTTTAAGTTTTGTGTTAATGTATGTAAGACACAAAGGTTAAAGTTAAACTTCTGCATATTACTAATTGTTTCAGCATCATTTATTAGCACTGTGGTAGGATGTTTGCATTGTGTGCAACCAGCCCGGCCGAGCCGGGTTCGATTCCTCCTCCTGCTCTTGGAGAGCCTGGCAAGCTACCGAGAGTATCTCGCCCGCACGGCAAAGCCTGGCAAGCTCCCCCTGACATATTCAATATGCCAAACACAGTAACAACAAGTCTCAAAATGGAGACGTTACTGTGCCCACTCGAGCAAAATTGAAGAACATCGGGAGGACAGTGACAGTGTTCAATTCTTTCCCCCATCCAACGACCTTGTCAAAACCAATGGACTGCAAACATAAGTCCTTTGCTAGACCCCCATTTTGTTCCCCAAAATCTACACAAGTACTTTAAGCCAATACTGATGACCAAAACTTTGTTCTCTGAGACATTTAAATCTATACACTTTCCTCCACATTTTAGGATCAAAGAATCCATTTTTCAAGAACAAGTCTTCTAAAATTTTGATTTGATTTCTACCTTAATCTAAGAATAGAACTTTACTTTAACATTATATATTATTATCCATGAGTAACGGCATTTTTAATCTTTATTTACTCAGAACTTTACTTACTAAAGAAAATCTTTTATAATGTGCAATGAGCTCTTCTTGCACATTTCTCTTACATGTGTCCCTTAAGTTTTTTTTTCCGTTTTATAAATGGTATTATTATTTTATTTCGTTCTCTTAATGTGCATTGCAAATAAAACAATATGTATTATGAACGTTTTTATATTGTTCTTGTATCTTGTGAACCCATTATGTTAATTTATCCAGTGCTTTTTTTGGCCTATTCCTGGGGATGGGTGTTATGTATGTGATAAAGTGCTCTGTGAGTAGATTTTGCTCCTTCAAAATTAGTATGACATTAATCCATAATAAACTATAAAACAGTAATCTATTTATTAAATATTTGTGCCCAGTTACAACTACAGGTTAACGTTTATGATTTTTGGCTGTATTTAAGTTGTTTCTTTTGCTTCAAATGTCCTTTATTATTATTCAAATTACAATAAAAAAGCAAATACTTACATCATGTAGTGGATAGGCAGATTTATAGGTTCTAGAACATAGCAGTCTTTCAATCCCAAATTTTTTCTTTCCATCTTCTATACCAAAAGGACATCGTGAGAGAATATAATAAACCTAAAGGTTGAGCACAGAGACAAACATTTCCATTAATTTTCTATTACAATTTTATAATATGCACATTGTCTGAAGATAGATCTAAGATCTAATACACAAGAAATTTTCCTCTGGTATTTGGGGGAAGATGGAGGGACTAGGGGGTGCATGGAGTTTACAGGTATTTTTTTTAACTCTGAAGCACCATAATATTATTAATTGTAAACTGAAATTTCATGGTATTGTGTGAAGTTTGCAGGTACTTTTTAAAAATCTTTAAAACACCATGATATTTTATATTTACATCATTTCAACATTGCCTCCCCCACCATATTGCCCACCTCCTTCAACTCCCGGTACTTTGCTTTTGGTAATGATAAATAAGATCCACTGGTATATTATATATGTTTAAATTTTATAAAAATGAACTAAAACTAGTATAATTTTTTAAATGAACAAAAGGATACACATATTTTATGTTGGCGTTTATGTGTTCTTGGGATAAACAGTTGCAGTGGAATTTCTGGATAGTGCAGTATCCAGAAATTTAAAATTTAAAAATTTTAAAAGTTGTTTCTGTATATGTTTCGCTAGAGGTTGACTCTATTTATAATCCCACAGTGAATTGGAGTTCTTAACATCCAAATCTCCACCAGCGTTGTTTATTTCTGGAATTATTGACAGACCCATTTCCACAGATATGAGATGAAACCCCTTGTTATTTTGATTTGTATTTTGCTAATAACCAGGAATGATGAATACTTCTTTATGCACCTGTTGGCTATTTGCATGTTGTATGTCTTCTTTACAGAAGTGTCTCTCCTTCCCAATTTCAGAGTTTTTTACTGTTGCTATTACTGATTGATATGCTTATATAACGTGGGTACTAGTCCTTGGTCAAAGATACAGTGTATGACTATTTACCTTCATTCAGTAGGATGTTTTTAATTTTAGTAGTAGTCTTCTAACTTGATATAGTTCTATTTGTTTACTGCACGTTTGATTCATTGCAAGTGTAGTTTTTAAAGACACTCTTGAAGCCAATGATTAGGAAGTATTCTTATTTTGGGTGAAACCAATGGTGATCAGGAAAAATTTCTCACTCTGTGCACAAGGGTCACTACTAATATGCTCGAAGGACCTGGAGATGACACTGGGGTTTGCAACAAAGCAGGCCAGCACTTTCTTTCTAATGTACTTCTCTAGTTCCTCTTTAGTGAGCTTTTATGAATTTGGGAGTAATGTTTGTCCTGTGTTAATTTTGAGTTAACTTTTGTGCATGATGTTAGACTGTGGTTCTTCTTTATGTGGCTATCCAATTTTCTCAACAGCATTCACTGAAGAGACAGTCCTTGAATCCCTTTAAGTTCCAGGTTCCTTTGTCATAAATTAACCCTCCATATGTGGGCTTACTTCTGGGGCCTATGTTCTATTCTATTGGTCTAATTATGTTTTTATTCTAGTAGCAAAATGTTTCATTCACTGTAGCTTTATGATAGAAGACTACGAAATGCCAGTGTACTAGTGCCATGTACACTTTTATACTCTTTCCAGTAATAGTTCCAAATATAGTTCGTTTTGTTTTTTGCTAAATGGATGACATACAATTTTGATAAAGAATGCATTGAATCTGTATAATCCTTTGGATAAGATAATCACTTGGGGGGAAGGGTACACCCAGTAGTGCTCAGGTTTTAATCCTCGCTCTGTGCACAGGGTTCACTCTTGCTGACCTCATGGGACCATATGGGATTCTGGGGACCAAAAGTGGGTAGACTAAATACAAGGCAAGCACCTTGACTATGGTACTCTCTCTCTGACCTGACCTCCAGGATGATCATTTTAAAAATGTTAATCCTTCCAATCTATGTGTCTGGAATTTCTTCAGACACAATTCGTTGTGTCTTCTTTTCCTTGTACTTTTTAGTGAAATCATATTTTTCTTTTATGAAATCATTGTTTGCATACAGAAATGAAACATTTTTGTGCATTGACTTTGTAGCCTACAATTCACTGTACACATTGTTTCTTGTTAAGTATTTAGTATACTATCTGTGAATAGTGACAGTTTTAAATCTTTCCAAGTGGACTCCCTTAAATTTTATTTTCCTTATAATTGTTATGACTGGAACTTCCAGTTCAATGTTAATATTATTGTGAGAGTGGAGATCCCTGTCCTGTGCCTTATTATAAAGGAAAATCTTTCATTATTTAACCATTTAGTTTGGGCTGGAGCGAAAGCAGAGCGAGTAGGGTGTTTGCCTTGCATGCAGCCAACATGCTCAACCCGAGTTTGATTCCTCCGCCCCTCTTGGAGAGCCCAGCAAGCTACCGAGAGTATCGCGCCTGCACAGCAAAGTCTGGCAAGCTACCCGTGATGTATTCGATATGCCAAACACAGTAACAACAAAGTCTCACAATGGAGATGTTACTGGACCCGCTCGAGAAAATCAATAAACAATGGGAGGACAGTGACAGTGACAGTGACCATTTAGTTTATGATGTTAACTGGGGGTTCATTGTACAGAGACGTTACAACATTGAGGTATGTTCTTCTATCCCCATTTTGTTGAGAGTTTTCTTTTACCATGAATAGATGTTAAATCTTTTCAAGTTTTTTTTTTCCTGCATCCATTGATACGACCATATGGTTTTTACCTTTTGTTGATGTGGTGGCTCTTTCAGGGTCAGGGGAATGAAACCCATTGTATTTACTGGTTTTGGCATATTGAATACACCACAGATAGCTTGCCAGACTCTGCTGTGCAGGCAAGATACTCCGGGTAGCTTGCCAGGATCTCTGAGAGGGGTAGAGGCTTTTAGGGCAGCCTCTAATTGCTCTTTTGACATGCCATTTCGCCAGTAAAGAAGTGAACGGCACCTGGCCCAGACAAGATCAGACCCGAACACCTGAAGAATCTGCCATTGGTACTCATCAATACACTCGCTCAGCTCTTCACATGCTACCTGTCAGAATGCAAGGTTCTGTCCCAATGGAAAACCAGCAAGACTATGCTACTGTACAAGAAGGGAGACATCCACAACATTGGCAACTATCGCCCCATCTACCTGTTGTCTGTCATCTACAAGCTGTTCACTCAAGTCATCCTGAATAGGACTGGCAGAACACTAGATGAAGGACAACCATGTGAGCAAGTTGGGTTCCACAAAGGATTCAGCATGATTGACCATATCCACACGATAACCAAGCTCATGAGGTTTCTCAGGAGTTCAAGATCCCGCTCTGTCTAACGTTCATTGATTTGAAAAAGGCCTTTGATTCTGTTAGGACAGAAGCAGTCAAACGAAGCCCTAGACGAAGCCTTATCCAAACAGGGTGTTCAAACACAATATATCAGATCCTCCGTGAGCTGTATTCACTACTAGGATCTCACCATTCTCCATGGAGGTGATCATTGATGTCAAGAGAGGGGTTCGGCAGGGTGATAACATTTCACTGAAACTCTTCAGTGCCACCCTCAAGAATGTCATGCAACGTCTGGAATGGGAAGGAATGGGAGTGAAGATAGATGGTCGGCATCTACACCACCTCTGCTTCACTGATGACATTGTTCTAATGACACCAAACATTAGCCAACCATCACAAATGCTGGCCGACTTTGTCCATGAGTGTGGAAAGGTCGGAGTACTGAAAGCTGAATCTCACGAAGACAATGTTATGAGAAACGGTCTCTTTCCTGATGTTCCATTCACTCTCAACAGAATGAACATATCCGAATGCAACAGTTATGTGTGCCTAGGTCGAGAAGTCAACATGACAAATGACCTGGCACCTGAGTTGTGCAGGAGGAAGAGAGTGGCTTGGAATGCCTTCAAGAGCGTTGAAAAAAATAGCTAAGAGGACGAAGAACCTCCAGCTTCGGGCACACCTCTTTGATTCCACTCTTCTTTCCATATTAACATATGCCTCAGAGACCTGGGCCCTACGAAAATAGGATGAGAATGCTATTCGGGTTTCCCAAAGAGGAATCAAAAGAACTATGCTTGGCGTATCATGCTTCACTCAAATGAGAGAAAGAATCCGGAGTTCCGACCTCCTTCAATGGTCAAGAATCAGGGATGCTGTCTCGTTTGTCAAGGCTTCGAAAATCAGATGGGCTGGACAGGTAATGAGATTTGGAGACAACTACTGGTCTAGAGCCATTACCGACTGGATTCCACGGGGCGTCAAAAGATCGTGTGGCCGCTCACCTACAATATGGTCAGACTTCTTCGTCAAGACCCTGAATGATTGGTTTGAGGCTCTTCATGTTCCTAGAACAAGCAGACACCATTGGGCTAGACTAGCATGCGACAGGAACAAATGGAGAGTTGCTGGCACCTCCTTGAGCAAATCAATGAGTAATGGGATGTCACATGATCAAGTGATCAAGTTGATGTGGTGGTATCACATACATCATATTATTTGTGTATATTGAGCCATTTCTGTGACCCTAGAATAAACCCCATTTAGACTACTGTCCTTTTGATATGCTTTTTAATTTATTCTATATATTTCATTAAGGATATTATTTCTATATCTATGCTTAGCTGGGATATTCTATAATTTTCTCTTTTGGTAATGTTTTGCCAGCTTTGCCACTGATCCTAAAAGGGAGCAAACACATTACTAAAATTAAAATTATGAACAATATCCCAAATGAACATAGATATAATATAGATCAATAATATCTATACACTGATAAAGGCCCTTCTGATTTAATTTTATTATTATTTTTGTGTTTGGGGCTCACACACAATGACACTTAGTAATTTTTCCTGGCTTTGTTTCCAAGAATCACACCTGTTTGCAGTCTAGGTAAAAAAAGATGAAAGACGGGACCTGAAAAATAATACAATTGGTAGGGTGCCTGTCTTGCGTATAGCTATCTTGGGTTCAATCTAGGTGTGCCATATGATTCCTCCAACCTGTTAGAGTGATCTCTGACTCAGAGTAAGCCCTGAGCACCATTCAGCAAAACCAAAAATAAAACAAAATGAAATGAAAGAAAAACTAAAAAGAGAGAACTGTTTTAGCTTGTGCTTTCAGTTTTTTTTTCCTTTTTCAGTTGTTGGAAAAAACGGGTGATATCGAGAGACCAAGATACCCAAAACTACTGACACAGTGCTTGGAGTTCACATCCAGCAGTGCCCAGGAGGTTGTGTGGTGCCACGGATGGAAATGAGGCCTCCTGTAAATAATGCATAGGTATGAGTCTTATAAGCTATCTCCCCAGTCCAGGATTCACATTTTTTATTTTAAAATTCAAAAAATGTAAATTTTAGGTATACATTTTGTTTAATATTTGTGTCAATGAGTTTTTTGAGACATAACTTTAGGAACTAAAAAAGTAATTATCAAAACATTCCTTAGGCATGTATAAAGTGCTAAATCTAAAAAGTAAAAGTAAGCCTTCAAGTTCTTGAGTAAGTAACTCAAGAGACAGGGTTTTGTGATAGCACTCTAGTGATTATACTATTAGGTAATAGACAACAATAGAATAAAAGGTCACAGCAGTAACAACAAAGCCCTGAAGTATTTTCATTTAAGACCAGATAATAATAATAATAATAATAATAATAATAAATGTATAGCACTTGATTGAGCACTTACTATGTTGCAGAAAAAACTCAAAACCTTTCATACCTTGATTCATTTAATTTTTAGGAAATAAATGAAGGGAACTAGACTTTAAACCTGCTCAATATCACTACATTTACTAATTTATGAGATGATTAACAATGCACAAAAATACAGTTATCTAAAAGACAAATAATTATAAATAAAAGATAAAAGTACTTCAATGTTATCTATATACATCTCCTCTATATATTAAATTAATAAAACTAGACTCTGATATTTATAAAACCCTTCTATGAAGATCTTACTAAACCAAAATTCTTTGCTCTCAGTTAAGTACTTTTCTGGAATTACATGATACCTCTTTCTTTACCCATAACGTCAACCATTTTTATTTAACAACGATTTGAGTAGGAAGATTCATAGGTGTGATGATTCAAGTGGACCTTCAAACTGTTTCAGTACCACCAAGGGCCAAAATTTATGCAGAAGAAGTTTGTGAACATAACACTGCACATGGACATACAAAGAAAAGCACACACAGAGGTCCTTACAGGTGCAAAGGGCTTCGGTACCTACAATTCTGTTTCTTGCTGAGTTTGGAAAGAATTTGTCCTGGTCCTCAATAAAGAAGAGTTCCTGACGGTATCTGCTGAATTGGGCAGTCATATTTTCAGTTTCAGGATAAAGACGTTTCAGTTTCTTTGGGAGCCTCCCGGTGAAAGAAGTTTTCCGAACCCGGGGAATATATTCTTTCTTAATCGGCATTTTCATTCCTAACACTTCAGCATAAGTTACTAAAACCTCCCAAGGGGCATGGATCTTGACAAAATAAGTTTTCCCATTTTCAGAATTCTGTATATAAAAAAGGGAAAAGCAAAAATAACAAAGAACATGCTAATCTGGCTAAAATGAAATTTCATAGACTGTAAGCAAATCATGCCACATTTCAATTAAATTATTTTTCAATTAATTTACAATTAATTTAAAAAGTTTAGAAACATTTTTAAGTTGGTATTCAAAACATACATATACTAGCATTATAATATCTATATATGCTTAAGTCATCTATTTGCTTGAATGTGTATGTGAGAAAAATAGAAAAAAGAGAACATTTTAAAAATACAGTTCAAGGTCAGTGTACACTAGCCCCAAATCCCTTGTACGTAAATGGTTCTTGTCATTCTCTTAAAATTTGTCACTAGGTATGAGCTCAGAATTGTGCTAGGATATATGAGGGACACAAAGAAAATCTGATATATATATTTTTCTTACCCAATTTCCAAATGTAGTATAGACCTACAGGGCAAATTGTAAGGACCCTCTAGATAGGAACATTATAGGGCATGGATTACGTGATACAATACACACTATCAGTTGAGAAAAGAAATAGAAAGAGAAATGAACAAGAAATACTAATTTGGATAAAAAAAAGCATTAGTCTTTAACGGGCAGAGCAGGATTAGGCCTATTAAACCTAGTATGAAGAAAATTCTACAAAAGGATTAAAAAGCATGACGTTTTAAAAAGGAGAATTCGGCATATTCAAATGTAGGAAAAAGATATCTTGGCTTAAATATGTTGTGCTTCAAAAACAAACAAAAGTGTTTAATTACTTAGGGTATTAGACTACAAGTAGCCTTTCCTACAAAAAAAGAGATAACAAAACCTGTGTTTTTACTTTCTCTGTGTCTTGAATAGATTTACAGGTCTTTATTCAAAGACCTATAATTCTCAATATTTAACATTCAGAGCACCAGTATACTTACTTACCTAATCAAACACAGGACTCACTAACACATCAACACACTTACAGTCAAAAAAGAGTATTAATATCCCAAATGCAAGGTATATTCATTTAAAGTAACAATAAGTGAAAACAACATTCAAAATACCAACATTGGTATAAGTTAACGATTATATCTACCATTTTGTCTTCAGTTTCCAATTCAAGACCTGTTTTTCTGAGATTTTGTTCAAACACTTTTCTTCTTTCCTATGGAGAAATATTATCAATAGAATTATGCAGAACACTTTTATTTAGTAAAACACTTATCAGGTAATGAATGACTGTCCCTCAGAGACATTTTGTCCTTTCCACAGTTTTTGTTTTAAGTATTTTCTGTATTACATCCATCTTAGTTCTTATCAGTATCAAGTAACTCAAAATATAACTATACCATTTCAATATATCTGGGAATAATATACAGGAAATATGCAAAACCTCTATGTAAAGAGTAACTTTATTGGATCATATTTGAAGCAAAGCAAAACAACAAAAAAAAACTTAGCCAGAGATATACCATACACTGTTTTTGAAGACAGATCTACTAAGTTTCCGATATTAACTAACAAATCATATACTTAATACAATTTTAAGTTAAAATAAGACTTTTTATTTTTTTTTCTCTTTATTGTATTTTATTTTTTTTTAAAGTTGTAGATTTACAATTTTTTGTGCTTTGGTTTCAATTATACAATGATCAGATACCCATCCCTCCACCAGTGCCCATTTTCCACCACCATGGATAATATCCCTACCACCCCCATCCCCCCATCCCCCCTGTCTCTGTGGCAGGGCAATCCCCTGTGTTCTCTCTCACCTTTTGGGTGTTGTGGTCTGCAAAAGAGGCATTGAGTGGCAAACATGTTCAGTCCATAGTCTACTTTCGACATGCATCTCCCCTCCTGGGAGGATCCTCCAAACATCCTTTATTTGGTGCTCCCTTCTCTATCTGAACTGCCCTTTCCTCTAGGATACCCGGCTGGCCTCTAAGTTATGGAGTAATCCTCCTGGTGCTGATCTCAGCTAAAATAAGACTTTTTAAATCTTGACAAGTACTATAGATTTAGAAATAGTTATGCGAAAAGCACACAATAAACACTCCTGTGCCTTAAATTAATGTAGTAATTACAGAAAAAGTCTTCTTGTTTTTTTCTGCTGATTCAAGTGTGCAGATTTTCATAGTAATAATGACTATGTAAAAAAGACTATGGTGGGTATCACAGTGTCGGTGAGGTGCAGTAACTTTGTATATGAATATCTTAAGACTATTGTAACCATATTTCTACCTAAACTATAATAAATCTTTTATTTTGGTGGTGGGGAGGGGGCTATAATCAGCACTGCACAGGGCCTCCTCCTGGCTCTGCACTCAGGTTTCACTCCTGTTGGTGCCCAGGGAAACATACAGGGTTCTGGGGATCAAACCCAGGTTGATCACATGCAAGGCAAGTGCCCTACCAACTATACTATCTCTCCAGCCCTATCTAATAAAATTTTGTAAAATAAAACAAAATCATTGTAGGGCTGGAGAAATAATACAGGGGTGAAGTTGCTTGCATGAAACTGACATCAGTTTGCATCCCTAGCATCACATTCAGTTCCCTTAACACTGTCAAAAACGATTCCTGAACAAGGTGAGGAGTAAGCACTGGATAGCTGGCTATGGCCTTAAGTCCCCCTCACCCCCCAATAAAGAATAATTAAAATTAAAATTATTAAAAGATAAACATTTTCTAGTATATTATACAATCCTCATGATCTAACTTGAGCTATCTTCAAACTTTTTAATAAATAAAATATAATTTTAACATATTATTTTTTTTCACTTCCAGTTCTAACTTTATATGAGAAAAAGCCTATGATAGTAGCATAAGTTCTCCTTTCTCTGCTACACTTTCAAACTTGCCTTTCTATGTTGTCAAAGTCTGGCTGACTGCAAATGCCCAATAAACCTCTCCAACACACAAACAAAAAAGATACACGAGAAGAGAGGAATAGTTAATATATCATCACTATTATCAAAGCTAATAATTCTTCTTACTATTGTAAACTGCTTTTGCCAGTCATACGATTTCCAATTTTAAGTTCTAAACAAATTGGAATGCAGATGAAATAGTAAGAAGCTTGCCTTGCATGGTACTATCCAGATTCGACTAACAGCACACCAGATGGTCCCTTGAGCACAAAGTCAGGAGTAGATCATAGACCCATGATGACTGGCATCAAAACCCCATTTTTTAAGGGTTGAAGGGAGAATTAAAAGAATCAAGAATAAAGCAGTTTAATTAAGGCAGAATTAAAATATCATTGTTAGCTGAGTAGCCATTAAACATTAAGTCTATGATAGACCACTTTTAATTCTATAATACAATTCAGGAGTTCAAGAGACTAAAAGTGGTAGAACAGTTCTTTCTCTATTCAATGTATTTATCTGAACAAGCCTACTTAAGATTAACACATTTAAAATCAAGAGAATCCTGGAATGGTCAGTGCTTACTCCTGGCTCTGCACTCAGGGATCACTCTTTGTGAAACTCAGGGGACTATATGGGGTGCTGGAGATTGAACCAGTTCCAGTCACATGCAGGGACAGCTGCAACATCTCTGGCCCTGAGACATAGTTCTCAAATGGTGATACAATCAAAGATTCTGATGTATGTTGAGGAAAAGTGAAGAAGAATTGAACTCTGCGGCATTATAAAATGATGTCAGGAAGATGAGAATACAGTTGAAAAGGATCAAAGAAAGAAATATGAGACATGAAAGCAAGTGAAAAACATATATCTCAAAATGCAAAACTATAAACTGTGACAAATAACGCTAATATGACAAGTAAGATAAGGTTTGAGATGTGATCATTGAAATTATGTGTATAAATAGTGTTTGCTGGGAAGCCCTCACAGGAATGAGTTTAAGAGCAACTTGGCTGACAGAAATTGGAGATGTGGACAGAAGGAAAACAGATCAAGGTTTTTTCTGCATCTATATCATCCATTATTTCCATCTATAAAAATTCACAGCACATTTGTCTGTTAGAAGAAATAGGCTTGTGACCACAAAATAAAGAGAAAAAAATTAGAAGAGTAATATCCCGAAGTATATTATAACAGGGTTGAAACTGCTGTCATTAGGATGACCTGCCTGCATACCTGCTATGGCTACAGAGAATTTAGGGTAGGGTTGTAAGGATTGCCAGAATGAATCAGAAAAGCTCCCTTGGTTCCAGGAGAGAGCTTAAAGGTCTGGTGCTCATTCTTGGGGCTTGATTCTTGTCATAGTATGGGTCTCTGGAGCACCAGAGGTATGTATCCTGCCCACTAAAAATAAAAGAATGTATCACTTTGCCAGACTGCTTTTATTTAAAAAAAAAGTATAGTTCATGTTGAAAAGCTATGTTTCCTACTAGAACTTTGGAATATTGGTGTGTGCTAGCAGAAGGTGGCAGGGTGACAAGACAACAGTAAAATCCTGGGACCCATACTTCCGTGAACTTCCCTCTAAGAAAACATTCTAAACATGTTGTTATACATTATTGATGATGAAGTCTTGTGTCACTCCCCTGTGAGAGAATTCTTGCATGAGTGCTCTTAGTTTCCTCTGTATTATGCCCCGGCTATCTTTTCTCTGCTGAGTTTCTGGTATTTTACTACAATAAAACATAGCCATTGAATGTGGCGATGAATTTTTCAGCCATTTTTCCCCTAATGAACTACCAAAAATGGGGCCCTCTATGTCATTCCCCAGCAGCAAGTAAGAAAAGGTGAGACGGGGCGAAGTGGAAAAGTTTACTTTAGATGGAAAGGTACCATTTCATCTCTAGTCCTAGGAAGAAAGGTAAAGACACTGGTGCATGGAGAAATGAGTTGAGTTTGTGAAGTTCTCCTTGCTTTAGTATTGTCAGTAAAGTAGAAAAAATTTTGTTATCTAATTTGAAAGTGGAAAAGAGGTTATTGGAAAGGAGAAATTATTGAAGAGAGAGAAAAAGTTATAATGCAGTCATTCAGAAGAGAGAGCACCTGAATAAAATCATCGTAATGCATGATTGTCAGACACGAATAAGAACCCATATGCAATTAAATTAGTAAGTGACATGTCTGCTTTTTGACATTTTTCTGGCACATATTTGGTAGAGTTGGTTATTATTAAGATTTTAGCATTTAGCGTGATGAGTAGACTATAGGCCAAACAAGATTGCCACTCAATGTCTCTTTTGCAAACCACAGCACTCAAAAGGAGAGATATAACAAAAGGGAATGCCCTGCCACAGAGGTAGGGTGGGATGGGGGAATGGGGGATGGGAGGGATACTAGGACTGGTGGTGGTGGAGAATGGGCACTGGTGGAGGGATGGGTATTCGATCATTGTATAACTGAAACCCAAGCACAAAAATTTATAAGTCTACAACTGTACCTCATGATGTTTCGCTAATAAAAATTTAAGGAAAAAAAAAGATTTTAGCATTTAAGTAACAATTGAGAGAGGGACAAGAGATTTGATGGCATATATAATAGAGTCATCACATTAATTGACCCTGAGACTTAAACAGGTTAAATTTTAAATATCAAAGAGGTGGAAAAGGGGAAGTGGGATAAGAAAATTGTGTCTTGGGGTTATGGAGATGGTTGGAAGAGATGGGGCATAGGTTTTGTATGTGGGAGCCCTGTGCTCAGTGCCCAGTACCACATATCCCCCAAGCAGTGCTAGGGAGACAATTCCAAACACTGCCAAGTGTAACCTAAAATGCAAAAAGCAAAAACAAAGGAAAGAAATGCATCCTTTCTGGTCTGAGTATAGTTCAAGAAAGATGGCTACTGGTAAGAGTGGTCTGACATTCTCATCTGGAATGAGATGAGAGAGCTGAAGTCATAACCAATGTCAAGTTTAAGGCATATGAATGGCTGACCGAAGAGTAAATAATTATAAAAGGAAGTTAAAAGAAGAAAGAAGTTGAAATGCCAAAATAATTACCTGTGTATTCTTTGAGATGATCAACGACTTTAAAAGGAGTGCTGGTATAGAATGGGCAGTGAATCTGGGACTTCACGGGTTGAGAAAATAAAGGGAACTGACAAGATTTAAAGTTCAGGCACTTTAACATTCTGCACTCTGAAGAGTTGTCTACATCTTGATTTGAGATGTGTTCTCTCTGTACTTTCCCCCTGTGGAGAGAATGCGTGGAGAGATATGTGTTGGAAAGACACATATTCTCTCCAACACATCTCTCTTTCTTTTTCCCCTATCATTCTTCTAAATAAAACAATTTTAGTTCAAAAAATAAATAATAAATAAATCCAGCTATTTCAGTGAAAGGTGGAGAATATACTGCAACCAGCAATAAGATACATTTACAGACAGATATGGGCATAGATTTTGCCCATCTCTATAAAAATGCTTCCTAAGGGGGAAAAAAGGCACTCTGTGAATAGACTAACAAAGGAAACAGCCTATCTCGAAGAAGTTATGGGAATAAATAAGGTGAGAGTACTAGTGATTTAACTTCAGATGTTGTGAAAGGATCTGTGATGAAAGGGTATAAGAAAGAGAGATGTATTTAGAGACATGACATCAAAAACCTAGGGGCCTGGAGAGGTAGTACTGGGAGTAGGACACTTGTATGTAGCTGATCCGAGTTTGATCCTCATTACCCTACTGAGTCCACTGAGCTCCTCCAAGAATGATTCCTGAGTACACAGCTAGGAGTAAGCCTTGAGCACTACTAGTTGTGGCCAAAACCCAAGAAAAAACTTTTTAAAAAGATATTAAAAGTTTATTATTCTAATTTAATGCTATTCATTTTTAAGTATGTGACTAGATGTAAAAAACACATACACGTGCACATATATTACTTAATATATTAATTCATCAAAATATTTGAAATTCAATATCCACTTTATTCTCACCACTATTTTAGGCACCCAGAACCAAGACAAAATTCTGAGTTTTATGAACTAACACTGAATACAGTAAATAAGTAAAGAAATTAATAAGGATGTAGGTTAAGAAAGAACACATCACATTGAAAGTAAAATGGAATAAGAGAGAAAGCATATTGCAAAGGCTATTTAAGAAAGTGTAGGTTATGGAGCTAAAAGAAAAGTTTATAGGGACAGATTTCAATCGCCAGTCTCTTAAGCTTTCTTGAGCACAGGAAGTAAGACCCCTGGTGGCTTCCAAGTACCACTGTGGTGGTCCTGATGGCCCTTAAAATCACTTCCTCCTATCAATTGAACTATGAACCAAAAACCACCACTGACTGAATATTTCCCAGAGTTGTTCCTGGTTCCTGAGCACTGCTACAAAGTCTCTCCCAACACCCCAACAATCCATCAAACAAGTGAATAAAAGAACAGATTAATTATAAATGAACAAAAAATGTATTAAAAAAACATCGAGTTAAACACTTCTACTTACAAGAGTCATAATTAATATTTGTAAAGGTGTGTGTGTGTGTGTGTGTGTGTGTGTGTGTGTGTGTGCCTGAATGTGCAAGATCCTGGGTTTGATCCCTGGTACTGCATGATCCTCAGAGTACTGTCAGGAGTGATCCCGCCAGGAGTTAGCCTGGTCCCCACAGCACACTTTTCACGCATGCGCACGTGCGCGAACACACACACACACACACACACACACACACACACACACACACACACCACATATATAGCAGTTACTTGGAAGAAAAAGAAATCTGTGTCTGAAATGTCAAAAAAAAATTTGTCTTACACTCCATTTTTAGACTGCCTACATGTAGTTGTCTAATTCAGTTTCAACATTCTATAATACTTCATAGGCCCCTGAGTTTTACAATATAATTCAACAAGAACATCCCTGTTAATCAACAAAATGTGCTTCTTTTTATTATTTATGGTTCTCCTATATAATTACTTACCGCCTTTAATTCTGCATCTTTTTTTAGATCCTCTGCATAGGAAAGCACAAAATCAATTTGCCTAATCCCATCTCTAAAGAAGATAGAACCTTGACATTGTAGTTCTTTTTTAAACTGTAGAGGACATGAATAACAATGGCAGAAATACAAAAAGAATTAGCAAAACTTAGTTACTGACTAATTATTTTTCAGTCCTGAAAAGACAATTAAAATAAGTAAACAACATTTTTATCATTACAAGATAGTGTTTGCTTTAGAATGTGAAATTCCAAGAATAATATACATATTAAACAAAAAGGATGCAAAAAATACACACACACACAGACACACAAGTGTATTAACTACATGCAAGGGCAACTAAAAGATGGCTTATATCAAAATATAAAATATATGTATACACTGATCCCCAATATAGATTTGAACAGACTTGTTATTCTTAGTACACAAGATTCCAATGATTAATGAAACAAAATATTATGGCTTTGAACTATTTAGGAATATAGTTAATGATTGACCATGAATAAGTCTCACTTTAAGAAAAATAATTTATAACTAATGTCTGTTCTTTGTTTTTTATAAAATTGCTGATTTGCTATTTAAATTTTTAAGAGGTCAAATAAAGTCAAGGTGCAGATAAAATTAGAAAGCAGTTAGTTTGCCAGTAGGCTTCACTACAGGTAAATTCTCATGCAAATTTCCTTTCAGTATCAATTTACTGTCACTGTCACTGTCCTGTCACTGTCCTCCCATTGTTCATCGATTTGCTCGAGCGGGCCCAGTAACGTCTCCATCTTGAGACTTGTTGTTACTGTGTTTGCCATATCGAATACATCACGGGTAGCTTGCAAGGCTCTGTTGTGTGGACGAGATACTCTCAGTAGCTTGCCAGGCTCTCCAAGAGGGGTGGAGGAATCGAACTCGGGTCGGCCATGTTGGCTGCGTGCAAGGCAAACGCCCTACCCACTGTGCTATTGCTCCAGCCTATCAATTTACTAGGTATGCCAAAAAGAGAGTAAATGGCACTTAAGTGATGAGGCAGTGTGTTACTTTGTACATCAATATCATCAAGTTTAACAGTACTGTAATCATATTACCTAAACTAAAACTAAAAAAATCAGAACTAAGAAAGTCAGAATAAGTGAAAATCTACCCTTAAAAAAAGTCAAATGAATTTGTCCTATCAATTGTCTCAATATGAGTTAAACTGAAAATTTTAACTTTTCCATGTTGTTTAGTAAATGAATTCCTCCCCTTCCAAAACTGCAAAATGATTTTGAGAACTTCAAAAAGAAGAATGACATATATGATTAACACACAGACAAAGGAATAATCAATATTCATTTTTCTCCAACTCTGAGATTGTATTATATTATTATTATTATTATTTTCTCTTTGGGTCACAACTGGCGATGCACAGTGGTTACTCCAGGCTCTGCACTCAGGAGTTACTCCTGGCAATGCTCAGGGGACCATCTGGGATATTGGGAATTGAACCCAGGTTGGCCTTGAACAAGGCAAACACCCTACCCACTGTGCTATCTCTCCATCCCCAGGACCATGCTATTTTTAATGGTAGTTTTAGGAAAGCAGACTTAAGAGTTGTTTTACTTTATGGAGAAGTAAAATTGAGAAGAAAGGCCTGAAAATATTGTTGCATATAACTGAATATTGTTGCATATAACTGATAATATTATAGAAATGTAACTAAATATTATTGAAGCATACATTTAAAATTTTTGGTCACTGAAAAAGTTGATCATGATTGGGTTTCAGGCATACAATGTTTCAACACCAATCTCTTCACCAGTAGGATATAATTCTTTTGTTTGATAAACAATGATGATATTTTACAGTGCATGTTTGAGTTTTATTTGATTTATTATTGGAAATGTATTTTTTTAAGAGGCAAAAATTTGACCTTTTTTTAGGTAAACATATGACTTTTTAAAAAATCAGTCATTCTGGTTAAAAAAACTTTGGTACATCTACACAATTAAATACTATGCAGCTGTCAGGAGAGATGAAGTCATGAACTTTACTTATAAATGGATAGACTTGGAGAGTATCATGCTAAGTGAAATGAATCAGAAAGAGAAGGACAGACATAGAAGGACTGCACTCATTTCTGGAGTATAAAACAACATAACATGAGGTTGACACCTAAAGATAGTAGATCCACGGGACGGATAGATTGCTCCATATTCTGGAAGCCTGCCTCATGAGCAAAGGGGAGAAGGCAGCTGGAATAGAGAAGGGATCACTAAGAAAAAAATGGCTGGATGAATCGGTCGGGATGGGAGATGTGTGCAGAAAGTAGATAAAGGACCAAAATGATAAGCTCTCAGCGTCTGTATTGCAAACCATAATGCCCCAAAGTAGAGAGAGTTTATGGGGAATCATGTCTGCCATGGAGGCAGAGGGAGGTGGGAAAGGGGGAGTATACCGAGGATATTGGTGGTGGGGAATGTGTACTGGTGGAGGGATGGGTGTTTGATCATTGTGTCATTGTAACCCAAACATGAAAGCTTGAAACTATCTCATGGTGATTCAATAATTTTTTTTTAAAAAATCAATCATTCTGTAGTTCACAGACATGGATTCTCAACAGGAAATTCATAAACCTATGAAAGTACGTGTAAATTGCATGTGTGAGTCACTGGAGTCTTGTGTAAGCATATTCATATGATATATTCTATGGGATATGCTTCATGTACAGCATGTGTGTATGAATTTCATACAAATTTTGGGTAGAAGATCTATAAATATAATCAAATCTAAAAATATGTTAATCACTATTCTGAATTCTCAATTGCCTGAGGAATAAGAATCAATAACAAAGTTCCCACCCCACATTAATAGTATGCATTGGGATTAATAAAACAACAACAATAACAAAAATACAAAACTCCAGCCATCATCTAGAGCATAAGCAGCATCACTCAGCACTGGTATTACCATAAGACGCCTGGTCAGGAACAAATTGTATCGTTTTGCATGCTGTGAAACAATCAATAGAGAGAAAATCCTTCTGGGATTAGAGAGAAACTTGACTAAAAACCAGAGAAACAAACAAACCAACCCTCTTTAAACTATTTATGTGAATATGTATGTGTGTCTGACAATTAAAGCTGGAGAATGGGAATATTTAGGAAGTAAATAAAAATTTTAAAAACCATAAAGGACAAAATGGGTGTATGGAGAATTAAATCTCCAAATACAAAAGTATGCTTCAGCTATTTAAGAAATCTTCAAAGGCCCATTGTAACTTTAAATAATTCTGGATTTGGCTCCTAGTTTTTGAATAAAGGACATCTCTTTTAAAAAGAAGAAAAAAATAAAGAAGTAATAGAAAGAGGAGGAGGTGAAGAAGAAAAAGAAGGAGGAGGAGTAAGAGGAGATGTAAAAGGAGAAAGAGAAGAAGAAGGAAGGGAAAAGGAAAAAGGAGGAGGAGGAGGAAAAGAAGGAAGGAAGGAAGAGGAGGAAGAAGAGGTGGAGGAGGAGAAAGAAGGAGGGGAAGAATAAAGAGAAGAGGAGGATGAGAAAGAGAAAAGGGAAAAAAGAAGGAAAAGAAGGAAGGGAGGAGGAACAGGAGGTGGAGAAAGAGGAGAAAGGTAAGAGGATGAAAATAAATGAGAAAAGGAAGAGGAGGAAAGGAAGGAAGGAGGAGGAGAGAGGTGGAGTAGAAGAAGGAGAATGAAGTAGGAGGAAGAGAAAAGGAAAAAAGAGGAGAAGGAAAGGAAAGCATTATACAAATTCAACACAAACCTTTTTAAGTTCTAATAATATTCTTCAAGGACTTGGACTTGGAACAAACACTACTATGATTTGCATGGAAACATAAAACCTTCAAAATTGCCAAAACAATTTAAAGAGAAACTAGAAGATAGGACATACTGGATTTCCTAACCTTACACTACCCTATAAAGTTATAGTAATAAAAATTATAATATGTTAAGATAAGACTCTCAAACAAATGAAATAGATCCCATAGCTCATGAAAAAAAATGGAGAAAAGAAATAAAAAGAATTTAGTTAAAGAGGCCATACAGATGACCAGAAGACGTAAAAAAGTGTTCAGCATCAATTTTTACCAGGGAAGTGCAAATCAAAAGGACAATAAGACATCATCTCATACCAGTAAGAATAGCATATATCAAAAAGATTGCAAAAAAGTGCTGGTGTGTGTGTGTGTGTGTGTGTGTGTGTGTGTGTGTGTGTGTGCTCACACATGCACTCACGTTATATTCTAGGAAAATGTCATGCCAAATAGTTTATCTTGAATATATAATCAAATTTTAAATAATTAATTATATCTAAATTGAAGTTTCAAGGAGTTTCAAACCAAATGTAAACTAAGTTTGCTCCCATCTAAGACTTAGAAAGATGCAAAAAAAAAAGGCATGAAATTTTCTTCAGTTAATTAAAAAATGAGTCACTGTCACTGTCCTCCCGTTGTTCATCAGTTTTTCTCAAGCAGGCCCAGTAACGTTTCCAATGTGAGACTTGTTACTGTGTTTGGCGAATTGAATATGCCACAGGGATCTTGCCAGGCTTTGCCGTGTGGGCGAGAGACTCTCAGTAGCTTACTGGGCTTTCTGAGAGGGAGGGAGGAATCGAACTTGGGTCGGCCATGTTGGCTGCGTGCAAGGCAAAATGCCCTGCCCACTGTGCTATAACTCCAGCCCAAAAAATGAGTACTTATGTTTCTCAACATTTTTTCTAAACCATCATCCCTTCCAACCTTATTTCTTTCCTGTGGTCCCCTTCACTACTATATGTGCCCTTAGACTCATAGCCTTTCATTTATTCAATTTTCACTTGGCAATGTAGAATATCTGGAAGGCCCAAAGGAGACCATCTGGCCTCAGTTTTGAAGTGCTGGGTGGAGGACAAAATAGAAATGCAGTATGAGTAAATAATTAAGGAATTAAGATGTTATTGGTTTCATAAAATACATGTCTAACCTGGTTTTGAATTTATTGAGAGATTTAAAGGAAGTTTGTGCACCAAAAAAACTTACCGCATTTACGGGAGATCTTGAACTTTTAGAGGGAATTTTTTCTAAATAAAAATGGGAGGAAAAATATGTTAAAATGGCTAGCTAATGAGACACTGTTAAAAGTCAATAAAAGGAGAAAATAGGAACACAAAAATTAAATGGAAGAGTTCAAAGAAAGATGTAGTGAAAGAGAATGCTCGAGATCTTTCTAGAGCTGATAAGTCATTCAAAACAAATTCAAAATAAAATCCACAGCAAAATCTGTCTATGATTTAGGTGTGAAACATCAAGCACCAATGTACAGGATATTATTTAATCCACTAAGAGATAAATTTAATTCTGAAAAATCAAGTAATAAATACATAGCCACAAAACTACTGAGAAGAAAATATCCCTTAGGGTGTCCTTAGTTTTAGTCTCTTAGTTTTAGTTTTAGTTTAGTCTTTTAGTTTTCCACACATGAGATTTGATATTATACTAGCATGTTTCCTGGAATGAATCAAACTGGTTGATTTTAAATCACTAAGTAAAGTAAAAGTAAAAGTAAAGTAAAAGGCCCTCCCGTTGATCATCGATTTGCTCGAGCGGGCCCAGTAACGTCTCCATTGGAGACTTTGTTGTTACTGTGTCTGGCATATCGAATAGGTCACGGAGAGCTTGCCAGGCTCTGCCGTGCGGGCGAGATACTCTCGGTAGCTTGCCGGGGCTCTCCGAGAGGGGCGGAGGAATCGAACTCGGGTCGGCCGCGTTGGCTGCGTGCAAGGCAAATGCCCTACCACTGTGCTATCGCTCCAGCCCTAACAGAGTATTATTAACTCTAAATACAAATACTACTTTCCTAACGGATATATTTATGATAATTATATTTAAATAAGTTTTGGATAATTCAAAAATGTTACAGCTAGAATTACTGTCAAAGAGAGAAATCTTATTTTCTAGTGACCTCAATTTGGGAAAATATTAAGAAACACTTATCAAGTTAAAAGATTCCCAGAAAAAAGAATTTGGTGGAGGAAGCAAATTAAAACAGGAAAGGTGTCATCCATAGTAACTGAAATCTTAGGAAAAATTAATATATACTTTGAAAATACAGAAACTATAGGCCTACTATGTACATATCTTTTTCTTTTTTACAAAATTTTGTATCGTAGTAAATATACATAACGTTAAATTTACCATTAACCGTACAGTTCAGATGTTAAATATATTTATAATGTTGAACAGCTACCATCATCATCTATACCCAGAACACTTTTATTTTATAAAATTGAAATATTATATTGAAATGTAAATGATAATAACAATTCATTTTTTTCCTTCTCCAGTCCCAGGAAACAAAGTACCATTTATTTCATCTCTCCATGACTTGAATTATTCTAAATAACCTCATGTAAGTGTGATCACACAATATTTGTCTTTGTATGAGTGACTTATTTTATTTAGTGTAATATAACCAGAGCTTAATGATGTGATGTCATGTATATGTCTGATATCTCCCTTCCTTTTTGTTTTTGTTTTTTGGTTTGGGGGGCCATACCCGGCAGTGCTCAGTGGCTATTCCTGGTCCTGTGCTCAGAGATCAATCTTGGCAGGCCTCAAGGAGGGGACCATAAGCTGTGCAAGGATAAAAACTGGGTCAGCCATGTGCAAAGCAAGTGCCTTAACCACTGTACTATCTCACCAGCCCTCTCCAACCTTTTTAAAGCTGAGTAATTTTCCATTGTGTATATCACATTTGACTTGGTTTCCATTTTTCAACTATTGTGAATAGTGCTGTTATCAATAAAGGTTCACAGATATCTAAGATACTCCTTTCAAATATTTTATCTACAGATTGAGAAACAGAATTACTCGGATGTGGGGGACCTGGCAGGCAAGTGCAAGTTTGTGAGTTTAAAATCCCGCCAACTGAATACCAACTGCTCTGGCCTTTTTGGAAAACAATATTGATATTCCTCATAAAACTAGAAATTGAGCTTCCATTTGGTCCAGCAATACCACTTTTGGGACTATACCCTGGAGTCCCCAAAACACAAACACAGAAACACCATCTGCACTCCTATGTTCATTGTGGCACTATTCACAATAGCCAGAATCTGGAAACAACCTGAGTGCCCAAGAATGATATATGGATAAAGAAACTATGGTACATCTACAAAATGGAATACTACACAGCAGTAAGGAAAAATAAGGTCATGAAATTTGCCTATAAATGGATAGACTTGGAGAGTATACTGAGTGAAATGAGTCAGAAGGGAAGGGACATATATAGAATGACTGATATTCACGGCCAGGGAAAATAGGGCAGGAGAACTGATCAATGGTTGGTCAGTGTGTGGGAGATGAAGAATAGCTAGATGAAAGAGGGTGAATTATGACAGTACTAGCTAGAAATGATCACTGACAAGAATGTTGTTGCAAGTCAAAAATGAGTGTTGAAAGCAGGTAAAGAGATATACATGATAGACTTTCAGCATCTGTATCACAAAGCATAATACCTAAAATGAGAAAGAGAAAGAGAAATAGACAGGGTGGAGTGTGCCTTAAAGGGGTGGGGGGAATCTGAGGCCATTGGTGCTTGGAAATTACACTGATGGGTAGATGGATGTTGGAACATTGTATGACTGAAATGCAATCATGAACAATTTTGTAATGCTCTATCTCATAGTGATTCGATTAAAAAATAAATAATTTTTAAAAATGCGCCACCTATTCTGAAGTGATTACCAGAACCTTGCTGTCAGAGATCCCTAATAATAAGAGTTCAGTGACAAAAAAAGTGTTCAAATCAAGTGTGAGATCTTGAATGTAATCCCCAGGGCCACAAACGTAGGGAGGTGATTCTGATCACCACAGAAATGCTAAAACATTGTTAACTATTTTTTTTTTTCTGTTCGGGGGCCACACACAGAGGTGCTCAGGGCTTATTCCTAGCTCTGTGATCAGAAAATTTTATTTTCAGTTTTAGATTAACCACCATTCTGTTTTTCATAGTTTTCTGAAACACAAACAACATACCCGGGTTCCAAATGCTTCAAATCCATGCCAGCTGTTTTGTGGTTTTTTTTTTGATATTTTCTATCACGGTAAGTTTAAAGAGGTATACTATTGTAATTTAAAGCTGAGCACCTTTTTATTATTATCACCATTCTTGTATCTTTATATCTTCTTTGCATAAATGTCTATTCAAGACCTTTGCCCATTATCTAAACAGATTTTATGGTTTTAATAGTTTTCTATATATTCTGTATAGCATATTAAGTAAGTTTTTATTCTCATTCTATTATCATTTTATTTTTTACAATATAACTTGAAATGTTTAAAAATATGGTCAGTTTTTCATTTTTCATTCTTTTGTTGGTGTCTTTGTATTATGTTCAAGAAACAATTGCAAATTCCATTTATTAAAATATTTGCTGTATGTTTCTGATTTTTTAACTTGTCTTCTTTCTCTCTTTCTCCCTATCCATCCTTCCTTCCTTCCTTCCTTCCTTCCTTCCTTCCTTCCTTTCTTCTTTCCTTCCTCTCTTTTTTTCTAACCATCTCTCTCTCTGTCTCTCTGTCTCTCTTTCATATTTGAGTCAAACCCAGTGGTACTTCTGATATAGACCTGATATAGTGCTCAAAGGCCACTATTGGTGGTAATTAAGGACATTTTGTTGCCAGGGATTGAACTTGGACCTCCTGTATGCAAAGCATGTGGTGAAACCAATTGAACTATCTCTCTTCCTTTTCCTCATGTTTTCTTTTAAGACATTTATGGTTTTACATCTTATGGTTTTACATCTTTAGTCCTTTCATCCATTTTGAGTTATTTCTTATAACTAATATAATGAATTAATATAATGAACTGGATCGATAGCACAGAGGGTAGGGTGTTTGCCTTGCACGCGACCTACCCGGGTTCAATTCCTCCATTCCTCTCGGAGAGCTTGGCAAGCTACCAAGAGTATCCTGTCCACATGGCAAAGCCTGGCAAGCTTCCCGTGGCGTATTTGATGTGCCAAAAACAGTAACAAGTCTCACGATGGAGACGTTACTGGTGCCCGCTCAAGCAAATCGATGAACAATGGGAGGACAGTGCTACAGTGCAGTGCAATATAATTTAATAGTTCAACTTCACTCACAGGAAGATAAGTTTTCCAGTTGAAAATATTGTCCTTTCTCCAACAAGTTGTCTCGCTACTCTTTAAGGAATTCATTTGCCATATATGGAAAGTTTTGTTTCAGGGTTCTAGATCTATTTCATTGGTCTGTGTGTCTGCCATTTGTTGCCAGCACCACATTCTTTAATTTGTAAGTTTTGAAATCAGGAAGTGTGAGCTCTCCTGCTTCATTCCACTTTTTTAAAAAATACATTGGCTGTTTCAGGTCCCTAGAGAGTGTCCATGACTTGTAGGGATGGTTTTTCTATTTCTGCAAAAAGCACTAAAGTTTTGCTAAAGATTACATTGAAACTTCAATTCACTCTGGCTGGTGAGTACTGGCATCTTAACAACATTAAATCTTTTAATCCGTGAATATTGAATGTGTTTGCACTTACTTAAGCCATTTTAAAAGTTCAGCACTATAATACAAAGAGGAAGGCCGTGCATGTGACCGTTGTGAGTTTGATACTCTATACCACATATGGTCTTTTGAGCACCATCAGGAGTAAACCCAGATCCAGGGGTACACCTTGAACATTGCTAGCTGAGTCCCCAAAACTGTAGCACTGTCCTCCCGTTATTCATAGATTTCCTCTAGTGGGCACCAGTAGCATCTTCATTGTGAGACTTGTTGTTACTGTTTTTGGTATATAGACTATGCCATGAGGAGCTTGCCAGGCTCTGTCGTGCAGGCAGTATACTCTCGGTAGCTTGCCGGGCTCTCCGAGAGGGATGGAGGAATCAAACCCAGGTCGGCTGCGTGCAAGGCAAACGCCCTACCAGCTGTGCTATGGTTCCAGCCCTCCCCCAAACTAAACTGATTTAAAATTAAAATTTCAGCAATGTTTTGAGTTTTAATTGTATAAATATGTCACATCTTTTGTTAATTCTTATGGATTCTTACTGATTTTATTATCTATAGAAGTTGGAGAGAGGTTTAGGGGATTCAGGCTAGACCTGGTGATATTCCTGTCTCTGTGCTCAGTCATGCCCTGCAGTGCTGGGGGAGCATATGTGGTGCTGGGAATTGAACCAGGTTAGTGGGATGCAATATCAGCATCTTTTTTTCTTCTTTTTTTGCTTTATGAGTCGTACCCAGCAATGCACAGGAAATCCTACTGGTTCTGCACTCAGGAATTACTCCTGGTGGTGCTCAGGGGAACATATGGGATTTGAACCTGGGTCGGCTCTGTGCAAGGCAAACACCCTACCCGCTATGCTATCGCTCCAGCCCCAAAGTCAGCATCTTAACCTCCATACTATCTCTTCAGCCCTAGAATTCTTTTCTTAAAATCATTTTTAGATTACTTACAGTTAATGAACAAAAATAAAGCTGATTTTTATGTGTTAATTTTATATTCTTCAGTTTGCTGCATGCAATTATAGGGACTAACAGTTTTCTTTCTCTTGAAATTTCTATAGTTTTCAATGATAGCATCTTACTATAAGCAAACAAAGGGAATATGAATTTCACCTTTCTGATTTTAGATGTCTGATTTTTCTTGCCTACATAGCTTAGAACTTCCAATAGTAAGTGGAATAGAAGTGACAAAAGTGAATATACTTGGTAAATAACATGATTACTTCCCAGACAAAAGTATTTGAGCTTCCTAATAATTGTTTAAAGTATAAGGCATCCTGATGAGAAAGCTTCAAAGGTGTAATCACTGACACTCACAGTGGGATTGTGTTTGAAATTTTATGCCTAAAACTCAACTACTAATCACTTTTTAAATAATCAATTAAATACCATTATTTAATTGAAAATATTTAAAAATTATGATTACAGGTAAAAATACAATTGAAATGTACATATTCTGGGGATTTATAAGGTTCACAAACAATTTTGGAGAAAACTGGGAAACAAAGTTATGCCAGATATCTAGAAATCATATAATGGATAACAAAGACTATGAACTGGATTGATCAAAATGGATAAGCCTCTAAAGAATATTTTTTAAACAAAAGGAAAGAAACTGATATATGAATTATATAAAGCCAACCATATAAACCTAAAATATGTCACTAATGGATATTTAAGTGTAGACACAGTGTTGGGAAACAATTCTTCTTGAGTATCTCACATTTCTATACATCATTCAAGTAAGACATTGAGTAAGTGACCCCTTCCAGAATCAAGGGAAGGCATAATTATTCATCAATAGTAAGGACTCAAAATCCCAAAGCTCCGGTTATTCTCCTGTATTGCAAGACTGAGTATCTGCTCCTCTTATGATGAACCTGCACTTTCTCTAAGGAAGCTTGCACAAAATTGGATTTAACACAAACCCTCAGTTTACATATCTTCTAACAGAAAAAAATCCATGTAATCAAATGTGTGTGTTAATAAATGGTAAGTAGTTTGTCTAAATACGTGCTTAAGGTAGTCGTGAAAGTCCAAGCAATTTTGAGTTCTTCTTTAAAATTGTCCTTTTCAGGTGTCACAGAGGTAGTATAAGTTTTAAAGCACTTTCTTTGGACACAATCAAGTCCTGATTGCATACGTGGCATTGCATATGGTCCCTGAGCACCTCCAAGCACCTCCAAGCCTGTGCCCTGAGCCAGGAGTAACCCCTGAGCAAGCTGAGACCCAACACCCCCAACTCCTATTACATTGAATTTAAATAAATTTTCCCTGTTCAAAACGCAATCATTAAATTGTATTTTTTCCAGTGTGGAACATACAAATCAGCAAATAAAAGTATCTTTCAAAAATCAAAACTCCTAAAAAAAATAAAAAAATTTTTAAAAAGTCTTACAGTGTCAGTCATAGTTCATTCCATAAACACTGACATTTTACTAGAAAATTTTAACAAATACATAAACATTTAATTTTTCTATTTTATGTTATCCTTAAAATTATATTTTTAAAATTAGTGAGGGAAATTGCTAATTGGATCACTTATTACTTATGATTGTTATGAAGAAAAGAAACAGAAAATAAGAAAAATCCTTTAACTATCTTATTAACTATTATGTCTAAAAGGCTAAATGCTAATATTTCTATTTTAAAGAAGTTTTCAGATATAAATCAATCACAACTAACGTTCACATATAAATCAATCATAATAATCATACATAACTCAATCAATCTAACTTATATTTACTCACCAAAAACAATGTAGAAAAATACACATGTATTTGGGTCGATACAATTATTATATTCAACCATCAAATAAATGGTATTTTCACATCAATATCCTTTGTCCTGCCTCATTCCAAATCAGTGGCAAAAAATTCACAAGAGGAAGCTGTAACACTGTACTCCCATTGTTCATCAATTTACTCCAGCAGGCACCAGTAACGTTTCACAACAAATTATGAGACTTGTTGTTACTGTATTTTCGGCATATCAAATATGGCATGGGGAGCTTGCCAGGCTCTGCCATGCAGGTGGGATATCTCAGTAGCTTGCCAGGCTCTCCGAGAGGGGCAGAGGTATCAAACCTGGGTCAGCCGCGTGCAAGGCAGACACCTTACCCGCTGAGCTATCTCTCCAGCCCCCACGAGCGGAAATATCAAAATAATTGCAAAGATTTTTGCCCCCCATCCTCCCAAGTAATCTGAAACTATTTGGGGGAAAAGTTTGGGGAATAGACTCAGGCTAAAATATGACCTAATGCTGAAGTAAAGCTAATTTAAGAGTACATTATAGTAAAGCAAATGATTCTCAGGCGATATTAGATGATACTTCTATTATCTGTGAGAGAGAGCTATAGCCAATCGCTGCAATGCCATATTGATAATATTTTATTACATGTAGAACATCATATACAATTTCCCATACTTAATGGAGAGTATAGTTCTAAAGTATCTCATAGTTTTATGTCAGAAGGACTAATTATAAGGAATAACTAAAAGCTTTCTATGAAAAAAGTTATTAATAACATAAAGTTACCGAAATTACAGAGGGAATTTTCAACAAAGGGAGAAACCTTGAAGTATGCATAGAAAGGAACTTTCTCAGGCTGGTGCAATATCACATTGGATAGGGTGGTTGCCTTGCACATGGCTAGCCAGGTTCAATCCCTAAATCCCAGCAATGCCAGGAGTGATCCCTGAGTATAAGACCTTGGCACCTCTGGATGAGGACCAACTCTCTTCCTCCCAGCAAAAGGGAGGGATTTTCTCAACCCGTCCTCACTTCACAACTAGAATGACTGCAAATTAGACAGTAACAAATGACAGGGATGATGCAGAGAAATCATAATACTTATATATTTGTGGTAGGAATGTAAAATGTTGCAGATACTTTTAGCAAGTCTATAAGTTTCTCAAAATGTTCCATATTGAATTACAACATACAGTGGTACACTCTGGGCTATACACCCCCCAAAATTAACTTAGATTCATTTTTTTAAAAAAATTACTTTAGGAGTTAATGCAGTTACACACAGTCAACCTGGGATAGATCCCAACACCCCCATATTGTACCCACAGCCCTGCCAGGAGCCAGGTGGGTGTGGGCCCAAATGAAAAGAAACAAAGGTACAAGATATTCATAGCATTTACATTATATTCATGACATTTATAGTTGCAAAAAAAAATGAGTGCCCTACCCACATTTCAACCTGCCATGAATGATTCTGGAGTGAGTATTAAGCTGCAGGAAGAAACGCCAAAATAAATAAAAATGAAAACAACCCAAATGTACATTGGTCGACAAAAAAAGGAGAAGGTGTTGTACAGTGTAGTGCAGTTAATTATACTATGGCAGAAAAAAACAAAATAAAAACAGAATGATGTTCCGGTACAAGCTACATAGATAAACTTCAGACATTATGGAGAGAGAGAGAGAGAGAGAGAGAGAGAGAGAGAGAGAGAGAGAGAGAGAGAGAGACCCGTTTATAAGTCTGCTCATATGAAGATTGCAGAATAGGTAAATCTACAGAGACAGCAGCCACACTTGCTGGAGAGAGGAATGGAAGGAACGACTATTTGGGGTGATGAAAACGCTCTAAAATTAGATCTTGGTGATGATTGCAAAACTCTGTAAACATGCACCGTACACCTTCATGTCCTAAAATTCTGTCCCACTGGAGCCGTGGGCGAGGCTTAATAAAACACTCTGTTTCTTAGTTCCCCTCCATGCACCCAGGGCGCTCGCCCCTCTTTGCAGCAAGCCTCCACCTCTCTGCAGCGCGGAGCGGGGTCTGCAAACCATCAAGGTCACAGCGCACGGGCAGGGAAGGTGGCTGGAGCGGGGCAGGAGAGTGCGAGCGGCCCTCAGTGACCCAGCCAGCCAGGGCACGAGGCGGGAGGAGCTGGGCGTGCGTGCACAGCACCCGAAAATGTTCCCAGGAGTTAGGCTTGCAGGTGGCCAACGTCCCCTCTTCCCGGTTTCCTGCGCCCCCCCCCCCCCCCCCCCCCATCACCGGTTCCTACCTTCTTTCTGCAGCATTTCCAGGACATCCGGGTCGCCCAACTTGGCCAGCTCGTTATAGACACTGACGCCCGACGGACAGAAGCCAGGGGGCCACTGAGACGAGCCCCAATGATTCGAGCAGGTACTTAATTTGTACACGGACCCAAAGTTGGATCGCCGGGACCCTCTGGCCCTCTCCAAGGAGCGCGTCCTCTCGGGCGCCTCCGCCTTTGTCACGGCATTCCTCTTGTCGTCGCCGTCCACGGTGGTGGTCCGCGCTTCTTCATCATCCGGCAGCCCCGTCCCTTTCTCCCTTCGCTTGCTCATGAACCAGAGGAAAGGATGCCACTGGGAGCTCTTCCTCGCCTCCTTCAGGGGCTGCCCCACGCCCTTGCCGCCCTCCTCGGGAGAGACCTCGCCTTCGGCGGTGGGGACACGCGGGCCCGACTTCCCTCGCCGGTCCCGCGTCTGCTGCTCCGCCTGCAGCTCCTCGGAGGAAGACTCCTCCCGGTCCAGGTTCCCGGCCCGCTCGCGGGACAGCGGCCGTCTGGAGTCTTCCAGCTCTCTCTCCAGCTCCTCCACTCTGTCCAACTGACTCCCCCTCCCGGCCAGGGTTCTCCTTCGTCTCTCCCAACCCGCCGCATCTGGACTCCAGCTGCTCCCCTCGGGGATCTCCTGGGATCCCTCCCGGCCCCTCTGCGAGGTCTCCCAAGCTGGGAAAGGAGTGAAACTTGACTGCTTGCTCTCTTTCGGCTCCATAGTCAACGGGCTCCTGGCCCCCCGGGTCACCCCACTCGGGGGCTCCCTGGAGCTTGACGCCTCCTCCTCCTCCTCCTCCTGCTCCTGCTCCTCCTCCTCCTCTTCCTCCTCCTCCTCCACTTTCTCCTCCTCCTCCTCCTCCTCCTCCTCCTCCTCCTCCTCCTCCTCCTCCTCCTCCTCCTCCTCCTCCTCCTCCTCTTCCTCCTCCTGCTCTTCTTCCTTCTCTTTCTCTTCCTCCTCCTCCTCTCACTCTTCCTCCTCCTCCTCCTCCTCCCACTCTTTTTTTCCCTCCTCCTCCACCTCCTCCTCCTCCCACTCCTCCTCTTCCTCCTCCCTGTCTCTCTTCCCCCTGCAAACCCTGCTCAGATCTATTCCAACGGCCCCCCGCAGCCTCCTGGAAGAGTCTTCGGTCCAGAGTGCCCTTCCACCAGTGGAGTGACACAACAGACGTCCCCTCCCGCCCGGGGCTTGATTTTGGTTTGGTCTTCAGTCCAATAAGGTCCAAACACTTCCGTAGGAAGACCCTCCGGCTTAAGTCAGCCCCGCGCGTGGGGTCTCCAAGATTCTAACTGCCCCTGCTTTCCGCTTCCCCCAGGCGCGTGCCAGTAACTTTCCTCCTGTCCCTCTACCTTCATCCCTCCTCTACTCCCACCCCCCCGACCCCAAGAACAGTATCTGACTATTACAGTTGAGGGGAAAGTCATATGCTTTGGCCTGGGAATGAATTTAGCCGTTCCCTCTCGCCCCCTTTAAAAGTTGGATGACAGTTGGCAGGTTTCCAGAAACTTCCGTTTGTCCATCTTCTATTAATCAAGGGTAGCAGTGCTTCCCTCTTAGGGTGTTGTCCCGAGTTTACACAGAGTAGAGGGTGCAGTGTCAAGAGGTCGCCGGTTAAAAATGTGTGTGTCTTCGAGCCCCGCCCCAATCTCCACGTGTCACTAGGAGCCTCCAGCAAGGCAGACTCTGGCAGTGGAAATGGGTCCAACCTTCCCAAGCTGCTCGCAATCGTTTCTACGTTTTTGAGGCATCAACTGCCAGCTCCCTGACAAGTGGAAGATAAATTACTGTTTAATCAGGAAGAAATATAGACGAGTGATGGTGAACAAAGGTGATATAGGGGCCAATCTGAGGTCCTTGGGAGTGCTGAGTTTGGGGCAGCGATAAGACGAATCAAGAATAAGCAGAAGGCAGGGGAGAGTGCAGGGGTTATGGCAATTTGCAGACCCTGCTTCAATCTGTAGCATTACAGGATTCCCCCAAGGCTGGGAGTGACCCCACGCTATTTTTATTATGTAAATAAGGGAGATGACCTTTCTTTGTTTTTATGCTTTTATATGTAAAAGAATTTTTTCTCCTTTATATATATAGAGCACTCTGTAAGGCAAGTGCTCTATATCTGAGCAACAAACCCATCTCCCTAAATACAAGTTCTTTTAAAAGTATATTTAGGGGACTGAAGTGATAGCACAGCGGTAGGGTGTTTCCCTTGCATGCAAAAAAAAAAAAGGTGTATTTGCAATACAGCTGTGTATTGCACAGAGGTTAAAGGTTATGTTAGGAAGGGGGAGAAAGTTGTTTCTTAAGTATCACATGATGTCATTTATATGTGGGGTGTGATCACATATGTTCACACCCACATGTGAGGGAAAATAGACAAAATCAACAGTAAAAACAGTACTCAGCAGGACTAAGGGGTGAAAGAGGGCAGATCTAAGGGAACAAGGGTCCAATGGATTATGATGAAAGTGTATTGGTGTTTTAGGGGTAGTATATGGTGTAGTAATATATACCTTGAAAAGAAATGAAATTGTGCCCATAAAAAATGTTGTCACGTAAGTTAATGTTATTTCAATTTTAAAATAAAAATTTAAAACCAATGATTTTAGTCTCTGTTTTAAGATTTTTTAAAAATTTATTCATATTTATTCAATTATAAATAAATACTTTATTTATTTATTCAGGCTTTGTTTCAATTTTTTTTTAAAGTTCTCTGCTAGTGTCCTTTAAAAATAAAAGGAAGGGCAAATCCCTTTTGTGTCTCCTAGCAAGGGTAATATGTAAAATTATTTAAGTGATAATAGAAACAAAGCTGAGAAAATATGTGCACAATCAAATATTACATAAACTTTGCTCAGCTTTCAGAGGAGAGTGCTGGTCTTTTTATTTGAAGAAAAAAAAAAGCCCAACATATTTCTTTTGAGTCCTGAATCTTTGCAATGACTCCTGATCCTGCTTACTAGCAATTTTAATATAGCTTACCATCCACCTAGCACTTCCCCTCTTCTAATAAAAATAACTTTACAGGTTGAATTCTAGAACTGTTGGGATCATCAGAAAAATAAATGTAATATTTAGTGTTCATATATTTGATATTTTCCAATGAAGTTTTAAAAAAGACATATGTCTATTCTGCATTGAAACTAGAAAGATAGCATTGGTTTCCAGTCTAAACAAATGGGACATTTTTAACGAAAAAAATCCCCAAAACTAGGAAATAAGTTAAAAAAAAAGCAACTGCTATTAGAAATGACACACCCCAAATCTGCCAAGGCATTCTATCACATATAGTCAGAAGTCTAAACATATTATCAGTAGGACTGCAATGCTATAGTTGCATGATGTCGACTTGGTTAAATCTCTATTACTGTTTCTACCACTATCTCAATCCTTCCATCTCATTATCATTCCTCAAACATAGTAAGTACTTCCTCATCATTTTCTTAAGCCCTTTGCACTTGGTGTCCTCCTCTAAAGATCTTCAGACCTCCACATTTAATGGTTTAGTCTCTAAATCATTGTTTTCTATGAAATGTCACATCCTTAGGGATGGGGGGGGGGGAGGGAAATGCTACTTTGTTGATAATGCTAAAACAGCTTTCTCACATTTCTCTATACTTCTAACCAGTACCAATGTTCTTCATAGCAGTTCTCTTTTTGTGATGTTATATATTTATTTGCTTGAGTACATATATTTGTATACAAACTCCATGGAGGCAAAGGTTCGCTTCACTGTTGTATCTGTGCACTTAGAATAGTGTCTGGCACAGAAAGGGTCTCAATGAATATTTGTTGAATTAATGATCTGGCAAGTGGATGGCAGCAGATGTTTTATTCCCTAAGGGCAAGAGGTAAACCTTTCTTAAAAAAATCCCTAAAAGAGTTAAATTGCATTACACACTTAAAGTGATCAGTGGCTCTGAAACTGCCAAGCACAGTACTGAGAAATAATTTTCTAGTGATTGTAAGCAAGCACAGTTAGAAACAGTAGATAAGGTAATCCTCCTCGTCCTCTGATCTCCAAGTTCTTGACTTCTCTTTGAAGGGAGTTGTTGGATTTTTGTAAATCAAATGATAACAGCAACAAATGGCAAGAAGAGGGAAGCTAAGTTAGGTCATGGCTAGACTCCAGTGACATTCTAAGTATTGCTTAGTATATTAAGTAATCACATACTTTTCCTGAAATGGAAGGATTGTTATTTAAGTTTGGCATATGTATAAATAGGTGACAAAAATGTAAGTACATTTGGTCTTATACAAGGTGGTACTTAGAATTTATCCAGATTCAAACTGAATTAGTATTGTATTTTTTTAAACAGTAGTTTAAACAAAAACAAAATTAAACAAGAGTTTAAATTAAGAAACTGAAACTAAGAAAAATTAACTGACAAGAATCATACAACTATTAAAGGCAAATCAAGAGTTAGAATCTGTAGCAGCTGACCCCCTAGACCATGCCCTTAGTCACCACATTATTTTCAAGGTTGAAACAAAAATCATTGTTCAATGTTTTTATAATGCAAATACTAATCACTAGCTTTCTGTCATTTTTCTTCTGAAATGTCTTTCTCATCAACTATTCAGAATGACTTCATCAAGTTGGATGCCACAAAAGCTATATTTTATAGCCATCCTCTTTATCCCAGTGATAACTGAGAGTCATTATTGTTTATGGTCAAGTGTGTTGGCTTTGTGGTGTCATCAAACTGATTTCAAATTCCAAATTTAAACTTTTATATATTCATCAGAAAGTTTTACTTATCTGATCCTCAGTTTCCTCAGATCTTTGTGTGTGTGTGTGTATATATATATATATATATAAGCTTTATATATATATATATATATATATATATATATATATAAGCTTTTCAGTGTTGAGATCCAATAATGTTGGTACCCATGAGGCTGTACTTAGTAGTCTGATGGCAGGGGCAGTGGGCAGGGGGAGAGTATGCTTGTGGTGTTGGAAATCAAACTCCCTACACATGCCTGGCATGAAGTTTAGCTCTTTCATCAGTCTGCATTCCTGATTTATAAATTAAAATAATTCTTATAATTTCTAACTTAAAGGTTTGTTTGGTGCAATAAAGGTAGTTGCCCATGTGTTTTCACTTTTTGTTAAATATTAGATCACAGGATGCTATTTCATTTTATTCCATTTGCTGTTGATGGAGCTATAGCACAGCAAGTAGGGCATTTACCTTGTACGCAGTTCACCCAGGTTCAATTCCTTCGTCCCTCTCTGAGAGCTCGACAAACTGCTGAGAGTATCCCGTCCCCACTGCAGACCCTGGCAGGCTCCCCGTGGCATATTCTATATGCCAAAAACAGTAACAACAACTCTCACAATAAAGACATTAATGGTGCCTGCTCAAGCAAATTGATGAACAATGGGAGGACGGTGCTACATTGCTACAGCGGGTTGTTGATCATAATGATTTTAAGTGGTAGTTAAAAACCCAGAAATTGTTTTAGTTTGTTTGTTTACAATGTTCATTCCTTTAATTTTCATGGAAGGATTTATTTTTATTAGTCTATGGTACTTCTAGCACTCAATGAGATAAATCCAAAGATTTCTGGACCATAAGGTCCAGAAATGCATAAAAATGCCAATATAACTATTGCTTGAAGCACTGAAAGGAGCTTTTGAAGACCCAATAGACTCCAGTATTGATTAAAATGTTCCATTACAGAGCATTCACAAGATCCATTGTGCTGTGACA